AAATTGAGTCTAGGACATTCAGAACTACCCACTATGATGGCACTCAATCTATTAACCTAACTCATTAATCAGGCACTGAATCAAAAATTTGGTTCCAAGCCAGCTACGAAGTTACCCAAAGGAAAGAAGATTGATCAAGGTCTTGAAACAATTAGCTTGGTAGTTAAAAGTCTTAACCACCACTCGCAGCCATTTAATAGTTACTTCTCTACATTTATCCAACTCAATCAGAAAAATAAAAGTCAGAACATTTATTTTTCGTGTGTAATTGTATTGTTATAATTTGTTTTGATTTTTGTAAATGTCTAATGACAGAATGTAATAATGAAAAAAATCCTATTAAAGAAAATAAGTAGCATTTTAGTAATATAGTACCATCTAGAATAATCTTTTAGTTTTCTTAAATTCTGATCAGAGAAATATAAATGATGCTATATAATAGAAACAATATTGATACAAGTATTACACATATATACTTGTATGTAAGCAAGAAATACGAACAATGGTGTATACTCTAGGTGTATGTGCATATATCTCTCTTCTGCATGTATTTATTATTAAATACACACAGAAGTATTGTAATATAACAATCACATAGTGAATGATTAAAAATGTATGAAAATGAAAATTATGTAGCAACAAAAATAAAGCTTTGGTAATACTCAAGTGAAAGTGAAACATTGGACAATTTAACTATAGTGGCGGTGGTAGCTGTTACTCAACATCCTTTTTTATACAACACACAATTGATTGTGGAATAGAGGAAAGAAAAAGTAATAGAGAAAGAGAATACATATAATTAACTGGTAAGAAAAAACTAGAGATGACTAAAAAGCTTGGAAAATGTTAAATCTATATGTATGTAATTGTGTTGATGTACAAATTGAATGAGACAGTAATAACGAAGAGAGAGAAGCACGATCAACACCAGGGTAGGCAATGTGAAAAAAATTATTGTGTGGATCAAACACAAAATTGCATACCTACTCAAAACCGAACCATGTTTACCTCCTCTGGATAAAAAAAACAATTCAATGGGAAACACCAGTGGAATAACAGGGTACTAAGAGCATTGGTACTTGAATAAATAAACATTTAAAAGATGTAGATTATCAACTATGAAAAAAAAGAATAGAGAAAACGACAAGCCCAATAAACAATTGACGCATAGAAAAAATCACAACAGATAAAAGAAAACGAAACTGTTAAGATCAAGTATTTCGTAAATGAGAGACAAAAACAAACAAATGACAGACTGACGTGTAAAGTTGAAAAAAAAAACACAAAAAACCTATTCCTCACTGGAAAAATAAATCTCAAATGTAAAATAAATTAATGAACAGATAGTCGGATCTAACAAATACAATACGTAAGCGCAGAAAGAAGTGAGTAAAGACAAATAAATAAATGAAACCAACATTGTTAAATGGGAAACAGAAAGAAGACCAATAAGCTGTTGTTTTGCATTTCTGTTTGTTTTTCTTTTCGAGATACAATACACTACCCTACCTTATCATTAATTATTGCAACTGAGAGAAAAGTAGGCATAAAAATTTCTCTAAAAATCGTACACATGGCATAAGAAACTCTAATAGTATTAATAATAGTAATAGTGAAAATAAAATGTAAAAATAGTATAAGCACAAGACTCAATCATTGTTGATCAACTGAATCACTCATCTACCTGCACATACACACACACACAAATAAAAGCACATTTGATGAAAGGCTCTGGATAATAACACGAACAAGAACAGTCATAACAACAAAAATGATTACTAAAAGAGAATAATTTATTAGACAAGGGTGAAATGACTTGCTCATATTTTTTAAATGTTCTACTTTGTTAATTAGTATAACTCAAGATAGATCCCAGTTACATGTTCTGTTGTTGTCACTACGTTACTTATTCATTGTTGTCCATTAGAGAAAGAATTTAACCACCAAAGTTAAAAATGAAACAAAACTTCAACAATAGTTTCTCTCTTTTTACTTAAAGAAAGATACATATTAATAGGAAACAATAATTATTATTCAAAGAGGGTAAAGATCTTCGAGATGTGAATATAAATTAATTTGTTAATACAATATAATAAATATGATACAACTATTTTGGTGTAGAAGTTTGAATGAAAATTAAAACTGCTGGTCGGTGAATTAGTGAACTATAGAAAGGAAACGAAGAAAAAATGAACCTGAGTGGTAAAAGACAGAAAGTGAACACAACATGAGAGTCATTAAATTATAATACACTAACAATCTTCGGAAAATACATGAACAAGTGATAATCAGCATTAATAATTATTTCAAGAAAGAACAATAAACAACGGCATACTATACATACATACACATACACACACAAGCGGGCGTGGAAACAGAGTACGTAAACAATGACAATTGAATAATGAAAAAAATAGTAAAATGTTGGTTACAAAAAAAGCTTGATGATGAAAAGGACAATAATAACAATAACGGACAAACAAACAAATAGAAGTCATTAAATGAAAGACTATTGTGAATTCATTATTATAATCTTGAATAAATGTGAATATATAGTTTTATTATTCTAGAAATGTGATTACATAAATGGCATTAAATAATAAAAATGATAATGAATAACTGAATAGATTGATGTGCATACAGGTGTAAAATGAGTCGATCATCATCGCCAGTAAAAAATGGGAAACTATGCCAGGAAATATGATAAATATTAAAAACAATCTTTTCATTTTATATAGAAATAAACAGAATACACGGAACCAAAGAAAATACTCCTATTTAATATGATGTACATAGTAGAACAAGTGCAGAAAATCGATGGTAAAAGCAAGCTAGAACAATGAAAAATCATTCCTTACCATTCAAACATATCAGTTCATTAATGATAGAAGAAACGATTAACAAAAAAACAAGAAAAGCAGATTGAAAGATAACTTTTTCAAAGAAAAGAGGCGCAAAAAAATCAAGGCAAAATATGTATAAGTCTCTTCCTATCTATCATCATAATTAAAAAAAAAACATACACATCTCTTTAAAAACATCTTTTCAACTAAGTGAATTTGCTAATAGGAAAAATAACTAGAATTTCTATTTGAATAACTAAACAACCAAAAACAGGACAAATTAATCAGAAGAAATTAGATACATTACATTTAAGTGAATGTATGTCTATGTAAAATATAAGACTATAATTAACACATTATTACTACTACTAATAATAATAATTGTGTCCATATCACACAATCATTCGTAATATAATTGATAATGTTATGTAGAAAAACGAACAAAAAAAACAGGAAAAAAAGATAAGTATCTCCTCTATAAATAGTTTAGGCAAAATGGACAATGCAACAAAATGGTGAGTGACCACACACATACAATAGTAATAATAATAATACAAGACCGATACATAAGTGAGCGACAAATAAACAATAACCTAAAAGAAGAAAATCAGATAATTTGACTGTGTAAGTCGATTTGCTTCCATGTTTTTGTTTACTTTGTCTCAGCGTGTCTGTTTATAAAAAGCAAACTCAAAAAAGATTTAATTGAATAAAACAAATAGAACACAATGAATAATGGTAATATCTCTAGTAAGTTTTGGCGCTAAATTTTTATTATTAATGATAACATACTTATCAAAATGTATTTTCTCATATTCTGATTCAAATAATAATAATCATATAAACACATAACTGAAAGGAAATATGCACGCAAGATATCTAAAACATGACTTGTAAGTTAGTATGCAGTATTCAAGTTTATTGGTTAATAGGCTATTGGCAGCGGTGACAGCGTCGGCAGTAATTACAGCGGTTACTTCTCAATATTATTATTGTAATAATCCATCCATCTTGTATAACTAATAAACACAAACACACATGATGTATGTTTTCATAGTAGTTGAGGCATGAATTGTTTCGAAAAAAACTTGTCAGTTATAAACAAGTATAGAATTATTCCAAATAAACATGTAATAAAGTGACTAATTATGTAAACCCAAAATCACTGATCACAATTCACTATCATACACATGTTGTGTGTGTACATAGAAATTTCTGAATATGAAAATTGATACTACGAAAACGCTCTCAACAAACAATACTAGTAGATATTTTACAAACAGACGAATAAAAAGCAAAAAAGAAATCATTTATGTGTATGTCTATGTGGATGCGTGTGTATTGTATGTTTATTGTGTTGAATTTGCACAATGGATAAATAAATTACTACTACACCTAATAAATGATGTATTTTGAGGGTGGTGATAATATTTACTTACTTGTTTGTTTATAAACATGATAGAAAAGAAGAAAGAGAGAGAATCACCATTCCTTCCACCCTTATTCTTAATTATCTCTGTTATCTCAGCATAAATGTGACAGACTACTGAATAGCACTGATTGAAAGTAAAAAGAAAAAGTATGACTTACGACGAGAGAGAAAAAAGTACAAATCGCAACATACACATATATACACACCAGCAAAAACACAATAATGGGAAAAAATTGTTACAATGAATTAATTGTTGGCTCAGTTAATTAAATGAGACCATGTGTGTGTATGTAAAATGTTTATGAAAATAGATAATAGTAATAGTATTAATAATAATAACATACATAAAATCAGATAGACACCTAAACAATGTCGAACGATAAGTAAGAATAACAATGCTAATAGTTAGTATTGTAATCAAATATTTCACTAAGAATAAATCAAGAAAACGAAAAGAATCTTGTCTAATAAATCTGAATCTAATTAGGGGTCATCTTTTACATTTTATTGCGTATAAATTGTTTCATCTCTCATACTCTTGAACGGTTTCACTCACGAGAATTATCCTTTGTTAATTTTATTTTTATTGTCTAATAATTATGAATTATATATGATCATTACATAATAGTAATATAGTGGAACAGGGCCTAGAGAAAAAAACTAAGCATGATAATGATGTAATTTTCTTTGTGTGTGTGTGTGTGTTTGTGATATCAATAAACGCATTAGACAGGTTGTTTTTCATTAGTTATATGTTTAGATGACGATGAGGTTGATGAGCAACAGTTGTTATTACTGTCCTGATGTATATCTAGGGATGAATTCTGAGATACAAAACTAGTACTGGTAGAAGTAGTAACAGGATCGACAGTAGCAGTATTCATTATTGTATTCGATCGGAATGAGTTTTCTTCAACAGCTGTCACTTCAGTGGTCGGTACAATAGATTCTTCAAATGTAGTATTATTAGTTAATATTGTCAATGTATCTGACGTCGTGGTTGTTGTTGTCAACTCAGAAACAGAAGTACTAGTGATAGTGGGCACATCAAAATTCGTCGAATGATGATGTGTTAACGATTCTTCTGTATTACTGCCTTCTACTATTTGTTGATCTAAATCACAAGATTCTTGATTAGATAATGACAGCAAACCTGATGCAGAGAACAGATCGTCATCATCATTATAATCAGAATTGGTGTGTGTACCACCATTATCAACACCAGCACAAGTAGATGATAATAAACATGGATTATTGAAAGCTTCTTTGAGTTCATGCATAGATGATTCATTATCATGTTGTGTACAATCTGTATTATAATTACTGTTTGGTAAATTCCAATTTTGAAACTAAAATTGAATAGATATTTTTTTTAAAAAGATGTTAATAAAATAAACGTTTATTTACTGCAGGAAAAAACCATGAAATAGACAAAATGAAAAAATATGAGAAAAATTTATTATCTATCAGGAATGAACGCAGTGTCCAAAGAGAGAAAGATAGAAGATTAGTGGCTTGTAGGAAAAACTGCACACACATACACACATTTTTGGTTGCATATCACATACGTTTAACAAAATAGACAAAGAGAGTGGAACTATGATTCGACAGAATCAGACTAGCGACGGTCTTTTTAGAAATGACTATCTCGCATTCATGGAACATTAGTCGTTACTGATGAATTTTCGGTAGACAAAACTCCAACCCTAAGGACTCCCTACCTGGATTGGAGGTATTAACAAGTGTAAGAATACGTTGCAAGAATATTAAAGCTAGTCAAGCCGAGACGTAACATCAATCCGTTAAGTTGCTGACCATCAGTCTAAACTATCTTGACAGGTGTGGACTACCTACCTTGTTAGGGTCAAGACAACTCGAGATACTATTGAAAGCTAGGGACCACTATGCAACTGTTTCGTCTTAGCATGGGACTCCGCAGAAGTACAAAAGATTTGTCCAGTACAACCCTGTTTTTCAGTATTACCATCCCAAATGAGATTAATCCCTGAAGAATACTACACACAAACAATTAGATACTAAAGTAACGATAACAGTAAGGTGAGTGAATATCAAGTTGATGTAAGAACAAGAGCTGAAATATTGACTTTTTTCACATATAACAGGATATATGTTGATAACTTCTAATCATAAACACTATACAACAATAATAATAACCTACCAGAAAACAAGGAAAGGAGAACGAAAAAATGCAGGCAAATATAAAAATTGATTGGAATGATTATAATTACAGTTTTTACTTTATAAAAAGACGGAAAGACCAGAGTAATCACAAATAATATCCTTCTCCTTACAACAGGAGAGCACTTACCACCACGTGAACGAATGAATAAACACAGCAAACATGTGCAATGTACTTATGGTAAAAAGAATTCATATTATATATATATATATATATATATATATATATATATATATATATACTTATTTAAAAAGTACATAATTATGTTGTTATTATTAAGTGAACACGTTTTTTGATATCTCTTTAGATCTATCGAAAAAAGGTAGAGGAAAGAATAGAAAGTCATGTGTAACACAATACAAACACTCAACATACAAACATCAGAAAACTAATTTATTCTATAATGGTATTATTATTGTATACACATATATTACCTATACAACACATAACATTAGGAAGTACTATCATAAGCATACACACAAATATAACTAATTCAGAATAGTGTATACGGAATTATTACAGATTGCACGGAAAGATGGATTCGTTCAAACAAAAGTAATATAACCAACTAGAGAGAACAGTAGTAATATTAGATGAAATGGATGGAAACGCATTGGAAACTGTGACAGACCAGCAGTCCACCTTGTTGTTGGAAGTTAGTATTTAAAAGAGGAATTCGATCAGATGAAAGCTCAGTATGAATTGAGAAAATCTAATGAGCTTTATATCAAATTATGTAACTTGTTATGACACATGAGACATATCGATTTATCTCGTAATCAAAGGACAAGTATACCACGTAATGGTTTGTTCTTTTCTATTTGATAGCTGTGATAGTCGTGGCTCTTTGAAGAACCAATGTTCATCAGGCCAAACCCATTTACTATTATGGGTTCGGCTTGATATCTTCATCGCTGTGCTAATGGGGTATAGCAACTTGAACCGATGAATATACGTATCAAGTTCTATGTTGCGACTGACTGAAAGGATGTTCGCAGATTACGAGTGTTTAATCATACATGTTTTAGAAGCATTGTTTGTGTATGCTGGGAGTATTGAATGATCAATGCTTAGGTTAGACGTAAAATATTAGGTGGCGAATCGGTTGATCAGTTAGTAAATCCCTATTCACTAAAACGGTTGGGATATGAGTCACACATGCTCAAATACTGACTACTTGTGTGTGTATTATGTATCCTCGACCACTAACCACTTTGATGTGTGAAATTTGTTGATGCAGGAATATGCCAGAAGAAAATTATGGGAAGCTAAACCGAGATGTCGCGTCAGTTTATAGAGCCACTAGCTGATGCGATGGATGTCAACCCAGTGATTCTAAAAGTTAAGCATTTACTACAAGACCTGAAGGTCCTCAGTTCGATCGCTGATAGGGTCATAGGTGTGCACTGCAGAGGAGCTCCATACTAGGATACAATGATTATAAAGCACTCCCTAATTTTCAATAGTGCACCAAATGCGTTCAATTCGTGACCAATACCATATATTATAGGGATAGCTAAAAAAAATTTGTTTAATTTAAATAACAACAAACCTGCATTTCAGACTTTGTCTTGTTGGAACCATCATCATCTATCGTATGAATATCGCTATTATGATGACTATTCAAAAGTGCTGATACAAGTGGATTAGCAAATAGAGCTGCTAATGCTTCTTGTTGCTGTAGAGGATTTCGACTAACTGAATCAATTGGTCCACTTGGACTAGGACTTTTCATAGGTGACGTTTGCATACACGTTTTAAATTTCTCACATGGATTTGATTCTGATGATAAACTTTGAGCATAACAACAACCGGTACTCTGTTCACTACTAATATTATTAATTTCGGTATCAATAAATAACGGTTTAAATAAATCAGTTGAAGCTGATGGCGATATACTCAATGAATGAAATAAACGACGAATTACACCAAGTGAATCACGTAAATGTTCTGTAACAAAATCTCTTTGCTTTTTTAAAACTTCCACTTCACCCTCCTTCTACAAATTGAAATAACAGAGAATGTAAAATTATTAGTAGTAATATAATTGAAACCCTGTGCATGTGTGCGTAATTGTCAAATAGTAGACGGAATTTTGTTCTTTGGGCTAGATGGCTTGGTCATGAACTTCTCCATTTATGACCCTCAGCTTGTCCTGTAGACCTCGGTCTTGACTGGTTATTGTTGACCCTTAACCTGTCATCGTTTACTTCTTTATTTTGATTGTATTTCTCATTTATTTGAATCTTGGTCCTATATTTGTCCATAATTTTTTTGATTATTTGATAGATTGGATCGACTTCAGTGTATTTTATTTGTTGACTGCTGATTGACCTGAGTGCCAAGCTTTTAAAAATTCACTGGTGTTTTTAGAATTCCCTCTATCCAAGGTCTAGATATTTCCCCAATCCAATGGGTGTTCACGTACACTGATATGTCATGCCATGACATCAGTAGAAGATACAATCAAAATCTAGGTCTACGGGACAGACTGTGGAGAAATTCGAACACTTCACTTCTACTCGAAGTTTGTGCTAATGATGTCGTTCAGGAGAACGATGAAAGCTCCACGACCAAACCATCCAACTATTCTGAAAGTCTTATCTTTATCATATATTAGCACATGCAATATTGACGTTGAAATGTTATTGTGTGCTGTTCTATTGAGTTCGCCATCGAACATGTTTGCTAAGAATACGTTCAATCGTTTCGTAACTAGTATCATGGGCCCGTACGTAATCCAATTTCAAAATATAACACCAATAAAACTAACGTAGATATTTTAACCTAAATTTGATTTAAAACCCACTACACACTTGATCAAAAGAGGTTTCGAAACTACTTGCTATGAGAGGTACTTACTAACCGCTAGCGGTTATCCATACTTATAAAATGTAGATTTTTAAATCAGGTGGACAATTTTTGCAGTTTCGTTTTTTGAGCTGGATGGTTTAATCATGGTCTTCAGAGCAAAAACTTCTACTTCGACAAATTCGCGATATTGAGCGATAATCAAAGTTCGACATGTACACTATTGAATTCCATCTCAGTGACCCAGGGGTCGTGTTCGCGCGTAACTTAAAAGTACCGAGTTAGATTCCCGGTTGTGAGATCGTGGGAATGCATTGTCACTGAAGAGTCCTACACTAGGATAAATATCTTTTAGGTTTCCAAAATTTTTCTTAGATCGGTTCGCGATCTCAACAAGCATTCAACAACCTCTACAACCCTCATACTGATAACACCTAAATTCGCTTATCATCTATTCAAGTGATAAATGCTTGCATATTAATGAAAGCATAGGTTTTACTGTCTCTCAGACAGGAGCGAGAAAAAGAAACCTGGTACCATATACCACTTGTTTTCGATCATTGTATATTAAAATAAACATAAGGAATAAAAAACCCGATAACTTTATTAATGAAAAAGTTACTGGTTTGGTACATATGATATCTGAATGTATTTGGTATGGTTTATTGAAAGATGAATTGAGTATTTTCTCGACTAGAAAGTTAACCTGCCAAAACATAGGCTAGTAAATGTGAACACAAAAAAAATTTAAAATACACAAAACATGAGTATGGTGATGTAAGATAACTTACCGTATCTAAAAGTTGTTTTACTTCATCTAACTCACGACGTAAAGTTATACGCTCTAGATCACAACCTGGATTACTGAATGGAGACGATAAAAGAATAGGTGATTGCGGTAAGTTGGTAAAGTTATCATTTATTGAATGTGAGAAAATCCTAGAACTTGTCCGAGTTACACCAAGATCCAGTTGATTGGGAGATGAAGTTGAAGACACATTAGGAATACCACCCTGAGTTGAACATTCTGAATACTGTTGTGATCTAGTTGACTGGTTATTGTCCGGTTGGTCTGTGGATTCTGATGTCTATTTGAAAGTTACAATTCCATTAGATAGTTAGATATTGGGTTTTGGAATATGACGATGACAAGGTTAAAAAAACTCAGTTTAACTAAATTAACAAGAGCATGACCATATGGAACACTAAGAGCTACATGGAATGGTAGCTCAGAGGCTGAAGCAAGCGACTTTCAGCCATTAAGTTGTAGACTTGAACCCTGCCCAACCTACTATGATTAGGGGAACTGGATAGTATTACGAGTCTTTCAACCTAGAGTGTAGCTCCGTAACCAAGTATACAAATCTGTACTTGGTAAATGGATTGCGTACTAGATCCGATTTGGCCATAAATGATATCGAAATATGAGTCCCAGGCGATATAGTGACAATAAAATTTATGGTACATTTTTTAATCCTTCCCTTCAACTATTGTTAATTGAACCTGAACTGCTTTCTTAATCAAATGTTAAACTAAGCAGGTAGAACATCAGATATATACAAGAGCTAGAAACTAAGTTATTTGTAAATCATTACTAAAGAAAACTAGACAAAGTATTGTAAGGATTACCTAATATTGAGATAATAATGAAAAAACACACTTGAGTAAGTTGACCGTAATAAAAAAGTATACAAAACAGTTGTAATATTTTATATCCTAAAAAAAGAAAGATATCAATTTTAATATTACATGGGTGTGAGTAGTTTGACAGAATTTCATCACAAGTAATTTATGAATAACTCATTAATTCATAAATAAAACCAATAGTGAAAGTATTTGTATATGAAAATGTAGATACAAAAACTAACTATGAATAAAATTCATCATGAAACCGACTACAGAGTTTAAGATTGAGAAATTCAAACTACTAAGTTGTTTATTTTTTGTTCCTCACATAATCTGGTATACTTGAGATTGTAAAAAATGTATTTATTATATACTCTAATGAAAGCCAACCATGATTAATAATAATAATAATAACAATGGTTAGGTAGGATGTCACAAAGTTGGCCTATATTTTTTTCTAATAAATATCAATTATAATCAATAAAGTCGAAAAATTAAAGTCAACGTAAATTGATTGATTAAGACTTAAAGTGCATTGTTAATATGTCTCTTTTTGCTAGTTTGTCTATCAATCGCTACGCCTTGAATAGTCCAATCAAATTCAAGTAAATTGATATAAAATGGACAGTGAAGGACAACGATAATAATAATAATAACCAAATAAAATAACCTTCAAACACAAGATCACATGACCAATCTGTTATCATCACTAGGACGTTAACCGTAATAATAATAACAATAATAATAATTGTGATCAATTTCATCAAGGATACGAAAAATAAAATGATTTCAACTAAAAAAATATATTTATATGGTTTTTTCATATAGAATATATATATGTGAAGTTAAAAAATAAATAAATGGGATGTGTTTTGAGTAGCCGGATTTTAGAGAGGAAAATAAAGTTGTATGATAATATTATATTTATTTTAATAGATCTTATGGTTTTTAGCAAGTAATAACTATAGAAATATTATGAATATTATAAGGAGAAAGAAAATAATACAATATGATTAACGTTAAATCACGTTATTATTGTAAGAAGGATAATAACAATTGTTATATTCATAGTATTAATGTTTCGTTATGTGAATGTTTGAGTACATGCTTATTAAATGACTTAAAACATAAACATGGAATTCAGAGAGAGAGATGTCGATGGAAGGATTTAAATGACGAAACATGTATTTTGTAAACAACCATCAAAATTTAAACAAGCAGTATCCAGAATAAATTGCGTACTAAGTAAAGTAGAAGTTTCATACACATAGTTCCTTTATAATTTTGAAAAGAGCAAGAACAAAGATTCTAGCAGAATAGCATGAATGCATTTTTATTTCGTAGGTTCTAGTTCATATAAGGTATATATTTACAATATTCAGTCTATTAATTTTGTTTACACCCTTGCTATACTATACGAATGTGTCTTCAATATAACTTCCAACAAAACTCTTTCATGTAAGTAATTTAAACCCATGTGATGATAATTTTAAATATCACAGGTTGTAAGCAGCTGACGAGAAGCTACGAAATAAAAATGAATTCATACTATTCTGATAAAATCTTCGTTCTTGTTCTTGAAGTAGAAGTCATTAAATATAAAGTTATATAACTACGCTAAGTTAGATAGCTCCAACAGTTCCAGGTGGAACTGTTTACAGTTCAATCTCTGGTATAACAAAAAATGTGATTTTATATTTATGCTTGATGCCTTAAACAGACAAACACAGGTGTCATCAATATAGAGTCTGGGACGGATGTGTGTTTGGTCAAGTTGCTATGTCAGTTTAGCATGAAGCGATGCAAAATATCAAAAGAGATCGAAATAAAGTAGTAGTAATGACTTCATGGACCGATGGTAGTACGTTTCAGTTTAACCGCCATAGCTTTCTCCCAATCTGCTTCTACACTAGAGAGCATCGCTTCTCAAGGTAGGCGGTGGTTAGTCATATATAACAGAAGTCCTAAACACCTTGGTCAATGAAGAGACACTAACTGACTAAGCAATTTGTCATCCTTGTCAAGTGGTATACGCCTAATCTCAACCAGTGCTCAGTTGATGATTCCACGAAACGCGAGCAATACTTCGAAGACAGCTATGATTAAAAACTTCCAGACTACGCATGTCTTCTACTTACGTGAATTATTGTCTAGAAGTATGCATTGTTAACATAAAATTTTACACTATGGAATAAAATAGTCCCATGTACAATTATGTTAGTTTAGGTGACTAGTTAAATTTCAGTATAATTCAATTTACAAAAGTATTTTAGTAAGCCATCTAGTCGGTCATTAACAGACGGATACATTAACCACTAGGCCATCGCCCCACTAATACTCATGAACATCATAGCTATGTTGATATAAGTTGCTTTAAAAGTAAGTCACAGGATTTAATAAAACCATCCAAATCATTTCACAGTGAGCTGCTCGTAGAATAAAAGACAGCCCTGATTGTTAACCAGTAACATGACTAGTGGTTAGTATATTGAAATAATTGAACAAGATAACCTATACGAAGAAACTGAAGTGGTTAATCTTAATGAAATGGGTTAGTTCATTTAAATAACTTTATAGTAACACAAAACTATATATTGTGTAAGAGATAGTAATGTTACTACTAATACCTCAAAATAACCAGTCATTTAGTCATAAGTAACGTAGAACTATGTGCATGTAGCACTGGTTCAATTTGTTACGCTATATCAACACAGAGATGAAATTATCAAAATAATTGCCAGAGTAGAAGTAATAACTGCATCAATTATAGCAGGAAACAATGGGGACAATATTATTCGAGAAAAAACAATTGTTTTGTGAAAGTATTAGATAATTTTGAAACCAAAAATTTAAGGAGAGGCAGAGTGAATGCATCGATGTCACTCAGACGTATCCCAGGCTTTTTCATCTGACATCAACGGCTATTAGTTACAGTGGTAGCGCGAACCCCAACCAGATAGTCTGCAAATACCAACATGGCTCAGTTCGACAGTCGATAGTTTTCTTTCAGCCTACCTCTAAGTCAGTAAACATCCCGTGTCGAGGTAAATGATAGTCGGACATTGCGTAATAATGTCTCAACTAACTTAGTTGATGTAGATCCCTAACTTCATCAACCGATTCGTGATATTCAAAGAGCACCTTCAGTTTTCCCTTCAAAATTGTAACATATTTAAATAATGATATGATGACAAAATATAAACATTGTGATCAAAACAAGGAAATGGTGAATATGACAAAAAGTAGAACTAACCATTGAACAGCGATGAACACGGGAACCAATGGCACCAAATGATATAGCACTGGTAGAACCACTACTAGCACTACTGGCTAATCCAGAAGCATTTAAATCGACTCCTGCAGCCGCCGAAATTGGGTGATTAATGCGTCCAAGGGGTGTACCAACAATTGATGAAAATCGATTGTTATTACTCTTACTATTTAGTGATACTGGAGAAGATATAGGAGAACTGTGCCGGTGATATCCAGTTTCATCAACAAAAGTTGAAGGCCAACCTACTATGTGTTGATTTGATTTGATAAAATTACTCGATCGAATAATACTACTATTACTATTACCAGCCTGTTGTTGTAAATTAGTCGATTGCGCTGAATCATATTGCGGTAAATTATTATCTGATTGACAAGTGATAGAATCCAAGAATTCACAACGCAATTGTAAGCTTTGTATATCTTTATTATTATTTCCCCCCCTACCAGGTATACTGACTGGATTTGATGCGTAAAAATTTGGCAGTGATGAACAATCACTTACACCAACATTACTACTTGTAGTGACGGTAACTAAGAACGAAGAAGAATGATGACGATGTTGAGGATGATCTAGTTCCTCGGAAGTAGAATGTGTCGAAATGAAACCATCATCAGATGGTGAATGAAAAACCATATCTTGAGAAAATGTCGGATAAACTGTATGAATATCATCGAAGAAAGCGGCGGCAGTAGCAGACGCAGCAGTATTAGATGAAGTATGTTGTTGTCGTTGCGATTGTGTCAGTTGAGATAATAGATCGACATCGAGATTACTGTTTAAAAATCCACCACAATCTATAAAATAGAAAAATACTTATGTAGACACGCATATGAGGATGATAACTATAATTATTCAATGTTTAGTAGAAGTGCAATATCTGTCATTTTAAAACATTCTCGCTTGTTTGATGTGTCAGACAGTTACAAATATGTGTAATTTTTAATGGAGAATTCATTCCAATTATTTAAAGCTTTATATATGTCTCCGATGAACACGCCACTGTAGCGCATCCCAACTTTCCAGATGAAAACTTGCAGTCTGAAATGAAACCTCCATTAAAAATTATGTTCTTATATCTACGACTCATCGACTAAATGAACAGAAGAGTATTAGATATTTCACAGATACTGAACATAGAAAAGTAAATGTGCTACAATTTCATGGACACGTATTTTGTCCCAAACAATTAAATATAATTTATAGTATATTATTATTAAAATAAGCAACGGACAATAAATGCACATAAATATATACATATTTTGTGGACTACCATAATGGAGATGGAAGTGAGGACAAACAGAGAAGCAGAAACATTTGCGTTAGTAGTCCTCAACATACAAAGGGGAGAAACCAAGAACCTCAAATACAACACGGAGACAATCAACTCAATCATACTTAATGGAGAAACTTTGGAAGATGCGGAAAATCTCACGTACATGGAAAGCATCATCGATGAACGTGGAGGATGGGATGCAAACGTAAAGGCGAGAATCGGCAAAAGCAAAGATAGTATTCCTACAAATGAATAACATACGGAACTAAAAGCAACTGTCTGCGAACCAACATCAAAGCCAGAATCTTCAATACGAACGTCAAGGCAGTTAGTTCAACTATACGGAGCTGAATTTGAAGAACTACTACAACCGTCATCAAAAATGTACAGGTAATTATTAACAGTTGTCTAAACAAGATACTCAATATCCGTTGGCCGGATACCATTAGCAACGTTAAGTTGATCATCTATACCTACCCCCTCCCTTTGTTAATTCCCTTAGCCCATGGATTAAAGGACGTCTGATATAATTTGCCACACTTCCTAATAATCAGACTTATATCTATGGTGAGAACAAATTTCTTGCCTTCAGACAAGATTCATTTTAAATTATTGTTAAATGATCTTTTATATATATCAGAGGGGGTTTTTGTGGATATTATAGTAATGTTAATAGTTCAGATCATGAGTCGATTGAAGCTAGACTACCATAGGAAACCTGGAAGCACTGGACGACTTTGCTGAGGAGTCCCACAATAGGACGGAATGGTCGTCTAGTGCTTCCAGGTTTTTCATGGTAGTCTAGCTTCAATTGACTTATGATCTGAACTATTAGCATTGCAATAATATCCACAAAAACTCCTTCTGATATTAATGAGCATATGATCACTAGTGATTGGCTTCAAGAGGTATTTCATGGAGTTCTAGTGAGAAGCAGTGACCAGAGGAGTTCAACCGGGTCTGCTGTGAGATAGCAACTGACTGAAGATAATGATGGGTGTGTCGCTCAATTTTATGGATTAGCTGAAGTTAGACATTAACATTGTTGGATGCCAGCTCAGTGGTCTAGTGTTTGAGCGCTCGCGCGCGAGGCTGGTAGGCCCTGGGTTCGAATCTCGCGAGAAGGGATCGTGAACGTGCACTGCTGAGGAGTCTCACAATAGGACGAAACGACCGTCCAGTGCTTCCAGGTTTTCCATGGTGGTTTAGCTTTAATTGACTCATCATCTCCACTATTAAAATTCTATTTGTGTATTTATGTATTTCCATTTCAAATAGAAGTAGTGAAATAAAATACATCTGTACAGTATTCTGTTAAATATGGAGCTTTCATTATTTAAATTTTCTTTAAAAAACGTATTAAATAAATAGCAGTTCTATTGGTAACAGATCAATATCATCAAGGCAAAGTTTTTTATCTCATACATACTACTAAATACAATATCCATGAGCCTAAAGTAGTAGTATAACCTACCTCAGTCAGATGAGAGGGAGAGAAAAAATTACGAAAACAAATGACAGTTACATTTCTGAGAAAATTGCTTAAAGATGAGTTTTCATACTGATTTTTATAGTCGTTTCTTAATTGAAAGAAATTACCGAAATGGTTGATACAAACAATAATAATTAATACTATGGTAGTAATCTGTAAAAAATTTAATTTCTGAAGCACAAGTGTAGTTATGTGTATGTTTCATATACAACTTGTGTACGAGTGTAATAGTTGTTTGTGGGAGTGTCATAAAAATTGTTTTAATCCAACAATTATATATATATATATATATATATATATATATATATATATTTGGGATCCCTATAAACACGCCAGTAGATGTAAATGAGTGTTTAGAAAAATGATAAACGAAGACTAAAGAAAGGACAGAGTAAGAAAAAAGATTAATCAACAAAATTGTAAAGCTACGCATATCTCCGAGTTAACGAGTCCTAAGAAAAATATAGACAAACATCCCAAAGAATAAAGGAACAATAACGAAAACAATATCTTGCAAATCATGTCACAAAGTAATAACAAAAAAGTTTGCAAATTCGTTTTTCTAATGATTTCGTTAGTATGTAAATCAATAACACAGTTGGTAATGTCACTATTGTCACGTGACAATATTTGTAGTAAAAATAAGGAATGAGAGATAAAACTGATCGGACTTCATGAAGAATTGAAATCAGAAAGCATTAGATAGCTGTTCTGTTGTATTGTGGAATTCCTTATTAATATGCATCCACAATACAATTTGAAATTCAACCCAACAAAAGCCTGAGGTTTCAAGAAGGATATAATACTATTTAGCCAATATATCAAAATTCAATGATTCGCCGTTCTTAATATTATAAGAGGCATCCAATCCTACTACAGAGCAATAAAATCTTCCTAATTCAAAATGGCTCTGAAACTGACTAACTTATAGTGAAAATCATTTCCAAACTATAGAAAAATTCCCACGAAGCCGTCATCTTACTATAATGCATTTGTGCATTCGAATGACATACAGAAAATTCAGCATAAGATTGGTCAACTGAATCAAATAAATACTGAAAGCTCTGGAGCACTAAACATTTACTTTAGATATTACACACTTTTATCTACATAAACAGGCAAAAATCTCTTTGAAGGCTCAGTAGTGTAATGCATTTCGTAGAAATAAATTGATACAATACAGATACAAAATTGTGAGGCTTAAAAAGGTCAAACAATAAATTAATGACAACAGACTGTGCAGACCATACAACGGAGCACATTTGTGTACATCAGTTGAATCTATGAACTAAAACTGACATTTAAACAGTTGATAAAAATTAAATGGTTCCCATCATCAACTGATTTTAGCTAAACAGCCATTGATAAACTAGAAGCAGTGATAAATTGTTCCATTCATATATGGGACCCCACTTCAGTAAGTGCATATCTTGGACCTCATCGAAAGAGATCGAACCCAGTACCTTCATATCTCATGAAGAGTTTTCAATTTTTAGGCCATCGAACCGGGATTCAATGGTTTACATGATTAGGTTTAACCAATTAAAAAATTAACACGGATACCTCCGATTTGTAACAGGTACAGTTTGTATCACGATATTCGCAATAGTAATCTAGGCAATGCTTACAACGAAAAAAATCACTCCTTTCACACGATCAACTAAAATTAATTAGTTTTGGTTATTTTAAAAAGGGATTTTGAAAAAAAACAACTCTTACTTGATTCGAGCGGTGAAGTTGGAGGCAATGTCATATCAAGAACTAAACCACTATCACGACTAGTATCATCACAATTACTAATAGATGTACTAGCAATACCGATAGGCATATGATATTGATCAAAAAAAGTGTTGAAATCATTTTCTGTTTCATTAATCCCATCATTACTATCATTATTACCAGTACCACTTATGTTCATTGTAGACCATGGACAACTAGGCGAGAAGTATTGTTGTTCTGTACTAGATGTCGATTCAAAATTATCCCATAGCATATCTTAAACACAAAAGAAGAATATATATGTATGTAAGAATGAGCAATTTTACGACAATAAATCAATGGATTAAGAAAAACAATCGAATGTAATAAAAACTATAGTTATTATTAAAAGTAAAAACAATATGACAAAGTAAACACAGAAGTGTATATAGCTGACTGACTATGTCCCAGTGTTTTTTAAATAACGCTGTATTCATTTATTTCATAGCTATGCACTAAATACAGCAAAATTAAAATACAAACCTCGAAGTTATTATTTACTGGAAATGATATAAACAATGACAGCGATGTAAGAAAGCAGTCATTATTTTTGGTACGATAATTTAAACTAGTAACGCATAAGGTGGAGGGGCGATAAGGTGAGGATAAGTATTAAAACAAACGAAATGTATGTAATTACAACACCTACTAGGTTGTTGTTGCTTTTTACGAGTGACCACATTTTGATAAATCCCAGAGAGCTGTCCTAACAGTACAGGCTTGGAAGTAGCCGCACCAATCATACTCTGCTTCTGATTTGGTGTCGATAAACTAACACCACCGCCGCCAACTGTAACAACAGCCGAGGAAGTAGCAGTTCTATTCAAATTACCCACAACACAACCACCACTATAAGAACCACATCGACCTGGATAAGTTGAAGTTGAATCCAAATAGGCAGTAGGAGGAGAAGTCAACTCTTTAACATTCATAGAATATTGTCCAATTTCAGAGGACATAGAACTACCGCTACGATGACGACCTTTATTATTATTATCTCGTGTATAACCAGCTGTTGACATAGAATGAGTTAAAACTACTGAAAAAAATTACAATAAATAAAATTGAAATTATAGTTAATAGTTAGTGGGAATTAAACTTGGAAATACAATAGAAAAGGTGAAAGCATTAAATTAAATCACCCAAAAATTTTGTTAATAAACCAATATGTTATTTAATGTATCATGGCGAAATGAAATTTGCCAGGGTATATAATTGTTATCGTTGAGTCATTAGAAAAGAAAGAACAAATGAAGACCAAAAAAGCTCACGAAGATGACCAAATATAAAAAAGCCGTCAGAAAGAAATGATTTAACACTTGATAACTAACTGAAAAGTTCATATTTACACGAAGTAAGTGATGATAATGTTGTCCAGGAAGACAATAAAAGCTTCATAATTACACTAGGTGAAAGAATACATTATCAACAACATCCAATCTTTTTCATCACTGAACTTTGAGGAATATCATTTAATGTGAGGACTGATGACATTCATCAACTGTTCGAACTTAAGTAATTAGGAATGAGATTCGAAAGTTTGACCTACTTGGTTGAAGGTTGAATACTCTAACCACTGAGTACATTTAATTTATAGCATTGTATCATATCCACTAGTTGTTTATGAACACCGCTACTTATACATCTACTTATTAATAAGCATCCATATGAGAATTAATATATTAATTGTATAATATCAAGGCACCTACATCAACTAGGTTTAAACTAACAGAAAAAAGAACCTGTTTAATGCATATTTATTTTGTAATCATGTGCTAGTTGAATGTGATTCACATGGTAAAGCAACAAAATGTAAAGAATGATGTCTATGATGGTCACATTGTGAACAAGAGTAGACCTACTGAAGATGGATATACACAAACATATATATCTCAATATATACGGAAAATGACTAAAAAAGACAATAAATTCATACGTCAATTTAAACGAGAAAAAAGTGATCAGTTGTTGATATAAGTTTTACATGCGATAAAAAAGGGTTAACAAAATTTAGTTAGTGTAACGATTATCAAAATCCCAACTGGTTGATTCATTCTTATAGTTAGTTAGCTAATAATAACATGGCTTGCCTATAATGATTCACATCATACACATGGGACCAAATACTGAATTATATCACGTAATGAAAAGTATGCAACAACCATAACATATTTTTTTCATCGTATCGGACACATCGCAAAATTGTGTCCCCTGGTACGGCGGAGAGAGTCCGCTCTCCCTCTCCAAATGCTTACATATGGCCATGCGTATACGACCACGATCAGGGAAGTCCTGCTCACTGTCCTCTCTTGATGAGGGTGTTGTTTACGAAATTCAGAGGACGAAGAGAGAATGTCTGGGGCTTCAACCGGGTTGGTGGATATAGAGAATCCACGTAAGGGAGTTGGAAAACCCTGATTCCAAACCAATAGTGCACATGGACTCCAGGATCTTAAGAAAACAAATGGCGTATGAACCAATTATTGGTCGGCGGCTATCATGAGACTACATCTCCTGACGTCGCTTCACTGTCTTGTGGATTAGACAGTGGAGCAACATCTTTCATTTCATCCGAGCCACTGGCACCAAGAAGTCTGGTGTGAGCCAAACAATCTGTGAAGATGACAGAATACCGACAACTAACATCTATCGACGTCTTGTAGATTGGGTAGTTTTCCGAGGGTCTGTTCAACCGATCTGCTGCCCCGGCAACATCGACTTGACTGTCTTACCCTCCATGGCCTACGACGACTGATCCACCAAATGAAGTGGAAGTCGCAAGGAACCCCAAGTTTTAAAGTGCAGATAGAAGTGGTAGAGAAGTTCGTGTATCTAGGCAGCTGCATAAGTGCTGGTAGTGGCATGTGTGATGAGATCAATTCACGTATAGTGAGAGCCAGAGTGGTTTATGCCAATCTGGGGCATGTTTGGAGCCTTCGTGATGTTAGACTGGCTGTAAAAGGTCGGATCTACAACGCGACGGTGAGAGCAGTTTTGCTCTAGGCTTGTGAAACCTGGTCTCTCCGAGTTGAGGATGTTAGACAACTTTGTGTTTGATCACCGTTGTCTTCGAAGGATTGCTAACATTCAATGGCAACACCATGTTAGTAATGAAAAGGTTCAGCATCGTGTGTTCGGGCACAGCGACGATAATTAAATTCGTGTCACTATCTTGAAACATAAACTTCGGTGGCTTGGATATGTTCGACGAATGTCATCTCCGAGAATTCCACGTCGTGCGTTATTTGCCGACTCTGGAACTGGTTGGAAAAAGCGGAGAGGTGGTCAGTGTATGACATGGTGTCGTGGTATGAAAGAAAGCTACAAAGGGCTGGCTTGTGTTGGTCCTTCACGACTCCCTGGCTGGGGTCCGAGAGATGGTGCGACAGCGGCTAGAGATGTTGTCAGATATGGCTCAGAATAGAAGCCAGTGGCGATCCTGCTGTCACCTTCTTTTACTTTCTTCATAAAATGGGCGTAACTTCTTTAACTAAGAGAATGCTATCTGGCTGTATTTTGCTAAATGAACTGTCTCTCCCATTATTATTATCTCACTATTATACACTAATTTCTGTCCGTTATTGTTCAACCTTTTCTTATACACACCTTACATTCTTTATCTCTTCACATTCTTATTATTATTGTGTAGCGCATATGTAACTGGTTTCCATCTGTACCAATATTTATATGTTCAAATAACTAAGTATCACTACTAACCTTCATATCCACAGTATGGCTTAGAGCTAAGCATACGAGTATGGAACTGACTGATGAGTTGATGAGAACTAAACTATTTTTCATTTCGATCCAGATGCTGATGACACAAACACTACAGTTCACATAATTTATATAACATCTAAAACCCTATCTTTCATCACACGGTTATTCCTTTCTACACAAGACAAATAGCTAAATCTGTGTAAACATAGTAAAAATGATAAGAAAAAACACTAACATTGTTCACCTTCAACGGTTTAGAACACAAATTTAAGTACATAACTTCAGGTCCCTAAGCATTAGTCACATTATTTTTTACTATTTAACTTTTTTACGGATTCGCATAACTGGCTTCGAGTCGTACTCAAATTATGCGAGGGAGTGATACTGTCTGGTTGCCCAAACTGAAGTAGGTAGAATGAGGTTTGAACCTACTGCTTAGTGGTTGAAAGAACTCCTTAACCTTTAACAAAGTGGTACGATGAAACTCGGCCAACTCATGGTACAAGAGAAGGGTTGTACTCCCGACTATTCACGCGTGTGATGATAGTAAAGTTTTGTAAGATAGTAAAATCGGAAAAGTACAGAGCTAACAGATGTAAAACTACTCGCAAAAAGTTGTGCAACCGACCTCTCCTAACCAAGTTCTCTTTTGCATAACTTCAAAGAGAAATGTTCTTCTGCAGTGTGAATAACTGGGAAGTGACAACCACTTTAATCCTTCTAAACAACCCTCGAGAACAACTATATTCTGTCACAGATACACTATGTGAAAATTTCCTATCAAAATTTAATTTATACTATTGGTTATATAATATAATCTACATAAAACTAAGCTTAATAGACAAAATACTCATAGTAATAACGAAAATCACATGAAGCAAAAAAGCACAACTAATTAAATAGGAGGAAAAGGAAAGTGAATAAAACCATTCAAGTACAAAATAATTGATTATTAGTGCAAAAAAAGTGCAAAGGAAAAGAGAAGTACAAAGTAGTAATAATAAATACATTTTGTTGTTGTTTGACGCGATCGATAATTTGTTTACCACTAATACTACTAACCATCCCTAATGGCCATCACCTCATTTTTATTAGTGGCATTAACATACGAACAAAAACAAAGAAAAAATAGTTAATATTTAAAGTCAGATCAAAATAACCAACTAAGAGTTTGAAAGTTGAAAAAAAACCAAGACGACTGATGATTTGGATTTTAAGCCAACAAACCAAAAGAAATACGCATCATTACAGTGTTGTAAGGATATTAACCATCACTACCAACACCATTGTCGCTATAATACATACTTCCAGATACTGAAGCATTGAAGTGTAAATAAGAGAAAAAAGATAGCTTTACATGATAAGTTTACGTTGATTCCAAATTTTACCATATATGACAGATTATTGTAATACTATTTCGTAGTTGCAAAATGACTATTGATAAAAAATAACAGTACACCTGACCATCAGCTAGGATAGTAACTTGAGTATGATTTGTGTACAGTATTTTTAACAATTCGAATAAAACAAATGCTTATGCAAAATGAACACGACCAGTGTTAATCAGTCACAACACTGAATCTGTTGTGCTACTACCATATATACCAAAGTGTACTATTTACCGACTTTTCTAAACAATCTCATCTGAGAATGACAATAGGTTATTTTTGAACAAAAAACAACGATAAACAATTTTCTTTCTGAACAATATTTGACAAGCTTACTTACCGTTATGAAATTGGCCAGGTATAGGACGACTTCGTGACTGTGAAAAGTGAGTATTCTGAATTGGAGAGCAAGTTGAACTAACTGCATTGGGTGATAAAACACTCAAGGAAGAGCATGCTCCAATTCTAGCATCTGAATTTGATGGACCTGGTAATTGAGTAAAATGCTGCCTATCATTACCAGGATTGGCGATCAAGTTGAACGTGGGCCACATACTTGTACGGGGGGATGTACAACGAGCAAGACGACGCCCACGAATACACGATTGATTTGGCGCTGAACCGAGAGGTGATATCACGTTTGACGTCATAGGGTTTGGTGGTATATGAGAACATCTTCCAGAATGATCACTGGTACTAACTGAAGCAAAATATAAGGAGAACGATATGTATATTCAAAATAAACAGAGAGCACAACTATAAATGTTTGAAATCGGATATTATTTACTGATAAATGTATAGGTAAATCTTAAAACAAGCACGAGACAGTTATAACTCGCTATTAAAAATTTAATTAGATTTGTGATAAGATGGAAGAATTTAGACTGTGGAGTATGGAATATACTTTGGGTAACCAGCTTGGCTTTGTTACACTACACTATGCTATGTATTCAACAGGAGATATACACAAATATACATTCTGCACCTAATAGGATGTATATCGAGCTTTAATTTCGCGACCTGTACGAAATGTGAATAAATAAAAAACCAATCGTTTATAAGAGAAGTTTTAATGTTTTTAGAAAAGATAGTTTTTAATATACAACACGTTTGGGATAGTATAGAACAAAATAACAATTAAGGAAAAGTTAGGTTAATAATGATAATGATGGAGAATACTAGATTTTAGCTTTCATGAGTGAGACGATCTCAGAAAAAGACGACGCTCTTATCTGCTCTTTGCCCAGACATTTAGAACGACGGGCGGAACACTTCAAAGAGCAGTTCAGATGGCCTTCAGCTACTCTACAACCACCCATCATTCGCAAACAGCCTGAATGGAACATCGAAGTAGGTCCTCCGACTCTAGTTGAAGTTCAAAAAGCTGTAACTAATCTGAAACAAGGAAGAGTAGCTGGTCCAGAGGTCTCCAAGGATGGTGGTCCAGTTTTAGCGATTAGGTTGACTAATATTTTAGCTAAAATCTGGGAGTTGGACGTAATCCCATCCGATTGGTTGCAATCACTGATTGTTCCAATATATAAGAAGGAGTCAAAATCATCCTGTGATAATCAGAGCAGTTGGTTTGACTAATATAGCATCTAAAATACTAGCATCAGTAATTATCAGGCGCCTAACTAAGACTAGTGAAATGCAAACACGAGAAATTCAGGCTGGCTTCAGACCTGGTCGTGGCTGCATCGACCACATATTCACCATTCGTCGGGTTTCAGAACACATGCATCCTTATTGGCGTCCGACAATATTTTTTCTAGACTTGAAAGCAGCATTTGACTCTGTAGACCAAGAGGTTTTGTGGCACTGTCTGTCATTGAAAGATGTATCTCAGAAGTACATCAACCTTGGCGAACTGTCATCTGATTTCGCAACTTCAAGTGGTGTCCGGCAAGGCTGTCCACTATCTCCATTCCTGTTCAACTTCATCATAGACCTACTGATGGAAATAACGTTCTCGTTGAGTGAGTTTTCGGGCACTGATCTCCTTCCAGGAGGTTCACTAATCCTCTGGATGGTGAGCAGATAGAAGTAGTCGAGAAGTTCGTGTATCTAGGCAGCTGCATAAGTGCTGGTAGTGGCATGTGTGATGAGATCAATTCACGTATAGTGAGAGCCAGAGTGGTTTATGCCAATCTGGGGCATGTTTGGAGCCTTCGTGATGTTAGACTGGCTGTAAAAGGTCGGATCTACAACGCGACGGTGAGAGCAGTTTTGCTCTAGGCTTGTGAAACCTGGTCTCTCCGAGTTGAGGATGTTAGACAACTTTGTGTTTGATCACCGTTGTCTTCGAAGGATTGCTAACATTCAATGGCAACACCATGTTAGTAATGAAAAGGTTCAGCATCGTGTGTTCGGGCACAGCGACGATAATTAAATTCGTGTCACTATCTTGAAACATAAACTTCGGTGGCTTGGATATGTTCGACGAATGTCATCTCCGAGAATTCCACGTCGTGCGTTATTTGCCGACTCTGGAACTGGTTGGAAAAAGCGGAGAGGTGGTCAGTGTATGACATGGTGTCGTGGTATGAAAGAAAGCTACAAAGGGCTGGCTTGTGTTGGTCCTTCACGACTCCCTGGCTGGGGTCCGAGAGATGGTGCGACAGCGGCTAGAGATGTTGTCAGATATGGCTCAGAATAGAAGCCAGTGGCGATCCTGCTGTCACCTTCTTTTACTTTCTTCATAAAAAGTGGTTGCTTCTTCCTTAACTGAAAGATTTCTTCTGATTGTACGTTTTCGTTTCCCCCATGATTATTACTATTACACTACCATACACTAATCTGTTCGTTATTGTTTTTTTTACTCTCCTTACCCTCCTTTCTTTATTTTTCTTTTTTCCCTTCTCTTTAAATTCTCATTGTTTTGTGTGGAGCATATATATTTGGTGCCTTCTTGCGCCAATATTTGTGTTCAAATAAATAAATAATACACTAATCCGCTTAGAATTCGCAGACGACATAGTCCTGTTTGGTGAAGACGCCGATAAAATGCAGTCTTTTGGCAGCAATGAGAAACAATATCAGGATGTTTGGAATGAGTTTCTCCCTCTCTTACTGAAAATAGTTGCTTCAGAACAGGCCTACGTCAACACCCGAACTAAGGATAGGGAGTGAAGTAGTCGAACGCGTCGACAACTTCACTTCTCTTGGAAGTCTGATCATACCTAAAGAGTTCGTGTCCGACGAAATCTCATCACGGATTCAGACAGCTCGTTTGGCTTTTGTCAACTTACGTCACCTATTCAGAAGGCGAGATATCCGTCTATCAATTAAAGGATGAGTGTCCTGTGCTGAGCAAGAGTTTGTTCTGTTCTACTATACGGCTGCGAAACACGATCATTAAGAGTAGAAGATACTCGTAAGTTACCAGTATTTGATCACAGATATCTTAGGGATATTGCTCTCATCTGCTGGGATCACCGGGTAAGTAGTAATGAGGTTAGATGATGGTAAATCAGCTGATGAGGTTGTAACTCTTCATCGACTGAGATGATTGAGCCACATGTTACGTATGCCTGAACACCGATTACCATGACGAGCAATGCTGACTAGTGTTGGAGATGGTTGGGAGAAAGTTAGGGGCTGCCAAACCAAAACACGGCATCAGTCCACAAAGTCACCAACTTCTGGTTTGAGCCATAATGACTGATGCAGATTACTCGGTTGGGCTCCGCTCGACTATCGTAACCAATGGTTGGAGACTCTGGATGATATGGCTGAGAATCAATCACAATTGCGTCGGTGCATACACTCTCTGTCTTCCATTAAACTATGAGATTAGAATTACTCTATACCTTTCTTTCCACGAACTAATTCTTTCTTCCTGTACTATATCCTTATACACAATCTTTCTTTTAGACATTACTATCATTGAAGTGACTACTTCTATGAATTCGGTGTTCATCTTGTTGTGCTAATAAGGTGTGGTAACTTGCATGTATGTGCCTGGTCCTACGTTTCAGATGACTGACTGACTGAAATTCTGCTTTATTCGTAGCATATAAGTAATACTGAGGACAAGCAGGGTGTTTTTAGGGACCGTAGTAAACAATAATAAATAAGCAGGAATACTGCAATATAAGACTTGTTTATACAAGTAGATAGTTTGCGAATATTTTCTAAGACTTTCCTGCTGAGTATTTTGTTAATAACTGAGGAAAAGATTGGAATTCGAAAGGTTTTCAACTAACAGTAAAGATCAAATTTCAACGACTAGACATTAATGAAGTAAGACTACACACTATGGTCTTACTATCTTCAATAATACTGAAATGATGGACAAACATTAAAGTCGCCGATGAGTGAACGACCTACAAAACGAATGTTCTCTAATCGCACATGACACCTAATCAAGTTTGCTCTTGTGTAAGTATTTTGTATGTCTGTCATTTAATCAAATAAAACCGTATTCTTCTGGATGATTATAATTGATCTTAGTTTTTTGGACGGCTTGAGTCTATAAATCAGTAGCATACAGCCACATTGTATCAACACATTTTAACTATGAATTGGAACTTAATTCATATATTTTCCGAACTCAAATGTTTTTCACGAAATTTTTTTTGTAACAATATAAAATCATACTTTTTCATACAGTGGAACATAATTCATTCAGTTTTATGTTGAATTGATGAGAGGTTGGACACTTTGCACATAGTCGAAATATTTTAAAACTAGTACATATGTGGTTGTAGCATCTCTCTTGTTTAACGTTACCAGAATGAAAATGGAACTATTGAGATCACGAGTCGATCTAAGTTAGGCAACTGTTGAAAACTAGAAAACATTAGATAACCGTTTCATTCTAATATAGTACTCATCAGCAATACGAAACCATGATCGCGAGACCGGCAATCGAGTCCAAGACCTTCGATCTCACACCCAAAAGTTTAAATTCTAGACCACTGAACCAAAATTTAATGGTGTACAAGTCTAACTTTAATTAATCCATAAAATTAAACTAATTTTATATGCATTTTCATATATGTGTAGCCCAAAATGTACATCATTATATCGATAATAAAAGCTAAAAGCAAAACCAATAATCGACTGAATTTACTTGACTTATTAAATTCTATTGTAGAAGAAGGAAAACTTATCAAATGCTGTTGATGGTAATGATGATGATGTTGACTAGAGGTTGTACGTTGAGATATCTGTTGTTGTTGAGGTGATGAAGTAATCATAGACGACAAATTTGAAAAATTGGCGTTTAAATTGGACATTAAATTTGGTGGTAAGTTATTATTACTGTTATTAATACCAGCAATAGTAGGAGTAGTAGTAGAACTAGTGCCTAAAATACGTAAATTACTATTCACAGCACTTGGTGTAGATAGATGAAGATGTGGAGAATAAGCAGAATATTGTTGATTTTCGCTTCCTCCACCACCATGAGAAATTATTGAAATATCAGTAGGTATATGACGATGATATTGAAAAGAACTAGTTGTTGTGATTCCCGTCGTTATTGAACTAGATGATAATGAAATATTATTTGATGATAAACTATTATTATTAGATTCCATAATCAGTCCAGGTTGTTCCTGTTGTACATTTGCAGAAAAATCGCGTCCAATCGACATTTCTGAATCACAATGTGCAAAGGCACAGAAAGGACCACGTGGACAATAACCAGAATTTAATACATCGTTGCATTTTGTCGACTTATATATCTGATGAATTATATTTAATTCGTAGTTAAAAAGAGAAACAACACAAGGAAACAGTCGATTAGAACAGATAAAATGCATAAGCGAAAATTGTAATGTAACAACTAAAAGCTACACGAACGAAAGTTTAAATAGTTCGAGAAACTAAGTTACATAGAATGTTGTAGACTTATTGACTGGAACACTCAACTTTCAGGCAGTAGGCTGTAGGTTCGAATCCTGGTCTACCTTCAAAGTCAAGTCAATTTAATAGGAGCAGTAGCATTAATCACACAACCAGAGTGGCTTAAGGCCGAGTACCTGCACTTGGTATATGAGTTAGATTATTATTGTTATTATTATTAGTAGTAGTATACGGTTGTGGAGATTGTTGAGTTTCATTGGGATCATGAATCGATCAATGTTAAACCACCATCAAAACCTTGAAGCACCGTTTGACGGTTGTTTCGTCCTAGCATGAGACTCCTCAGTAATGTGCATCCATGATCCCGCACGTGGGACTTAAATCAAAGAGCTTCGGTCTCGTGCGCACACGCTTAACCTCTAGATCGGTGAGCCGGCATCCAACGGTGTTAATTATTAATATTATTACTGTTATTGACTGAAAATTTACCCTTAAAGTCGGACTGAGTGGGACTATAACTTATGGACGAACCAATCAGATTCAAGATAGTGATTCCTGGATTTTAGCGTGAAATTTGTTTATACATATGGCTAAATAAGATTTTAGTATTGCAGATAATGTCACAGTTAGTGATAAGAACTCTAACTAATTTCTGATTCCAACTTCTAACTTTACCTCCTAATACTAATGCCTCACAAATTCATAACCATGTTTCGATCCCAGTAACGGGTTGCAGCTTTTCAAGGAAACTTTGGTACTCCTCTAAGATCGTCCATAAATTAGTCTCCCCTGTCTTGTCTTGAAACGAGTTATTCACGATGAACGAAAACAGATGAGACGATTTCCAACTAAGCAGAAAATAAAATAACCATTGAGATATAAAACGACTGAATTCCATGTCGATTACCGACTACACAAAATGAATATAAAGCTTCGATTACATACTGACCTAAGGTAGGAATTGATAAGATAATATAGTGAAATGCCCTGGTACGGCGGAGGGTGGAGAGAGTCCGCTCTCCCTCTCCAAATGCTTACATATGGCCATGCGTATACGACCACGATCAGGGAAGTCCTGCTCACTGTCCTCTCTCGGTGAGGGTGTTGTTTACGAAATTCAGAGGATGAAGAGAGAATGTCTGGGGCTTCAACCGGGTTGGTGGATATAGAGAATCCACGTAAGGGAGTTGGAAAACCCTGATTCCAAACCAATGGCGCAGGTGGACTCAAGGATCCTGATGCAACAGATGGCGTATAAAAAAATCGGCTACCATGAGGCTGCATCTCCTAAAGTTATTCCACTGCCTTGTGAATCAGACCTTTAGGTCGAAGGCTCTGGGTGTGACCCCTTCGGTTTGGGCACCCGGGCAGTATCACAGCCCACACACAAATCAAGTGACATGTGTGACGCATATGTATTTGGAGCCCCTTTATACTAATATTTATGTGTTCAAAAAAATAAATGGAAAGATATACGAAAAGATGTGGAAACAATAGCGACATCTATTAGTGAGTTAAACCAAAGGGTTACGAAAAACCAGTAGATTTCTACTAAGTCTATTGCACTGATAGATTCTCCTAAACTCATCCCATCAGGCTCTGAACACGATGAAGAGCGAAAACAAATCAGACCTATGTTAACCAAAAGTCTAAAAAACGACGGTTGGCAGTTGTGGGCAACGAAAGCAAGAGATGGAAAAGACAGTGGTTGTAGGTAACACCATACAGCTTTTCAGACTGATAAAAGGAACTGGAATTAAGAAGTCATGAGTGAGACGATCTCAGAAAAAGACGACGCTCTTATCTGCTCTTTGCCCAGACATTTAGAACGACGGGCGGAACACTTCAAAGAGCAGTTCAGATGGCCTTCAGCTACTCTACAACCACCCATCATTCGCAAACAGCCTGAATGGAACATCGAAGTAGGTCCTCCGACTCTAGTTGAAGTTCAAAAAGCTGTAACTAATCTGAAACAAGGAAGAGTAGCTGGTCCAGAGGTCTCCAAGGATGGTCCAGTTTTAGCGATTACTTACTTACTTACGCCTGTTACTCCTCGTGAAGGAGCATAGGCCGCTCACCACCATTCTCCATGCAACCCTGTCCTGGGCAATCCTTTCAAGCTCTTTCCAGTTCTTATTCATCTTTTTCATATCCGCTTCTATTTCCCGACGTAATGTGTTCTTTGGCCTTCCTCTTTTCCGCTTCCCTTCAGGATTCCAAGTTAGCGCTTGTTTCATAATGCAGTTTGATGATTTCCTCAATGTATGTCCTATCCATTTCCATCGTCTTTTCCTAATTTCCTCTTCAGCTGGAAGCTGGTTGGTTCTCTCCCACAAAAGGCTGTTGCTGATGGTTTCCGGCCAATGGATGTTGAGTATCATGCGTAGACAGCTATTAATAAATACCTGTACCTTCTTGATGGTGGTTGTTGTAGTTCTCCAAGTTTCAGCTCAGTACAGTAGAACTGCCTTGACGTTCGTATTGAAGATTCTGACTTTGATATTGGTTGGAAGTTGTTTTGAGTTCCATATGTTCTTCAGTTGAAGGAATGCCGCTCTAGCTTTGCCAATCCTTGCCTTGACGTCTGCATCTGAACCTCCTTGTTTATCGACGATGCTTCCCAGGTATGTGAAGGATTCCACATCTTCCAGAGTTTCGCCATCAAGAGTGTTTGGACTGCTGTTCTCCGTGTTGTATTTGAGGATCTTGGTTTTCCCTTTGTGTATGTTGAGGCCTACTGATGCAGAGACTGCTGCTACTCTGGCTGTCTTTATCTGCATTTGTTCGTGTGTATGTGATAGGAGGGCTAGGTCATCTGCAAAGTCCAAGTCGTCTAATTGGTTCTGAGCTGTCCATCGTATGCCGTGGTTTCCCTCAGATGTCGAGGTCTTAATAATCCAGTCGACCACCAGAAGAAACAGCAAGGGAGAGAGTAGACAGCCTTGTCTTAATCCGGTCCTTACTTGGAATGCGTCTGTCAGCTGTCCTCCATGCACTACTTTGCACTGTAGTCCATCGTATGAATTCCGGATAATGTTGACAATCTTCTCAGGAACTCCGTAGTGTCGAAGAAGTTTCCATAACGTCCTCCTATCTACACTGTCAAATGCCTTCTCATAATCAATGAAGTTGATGTAGAGTGACGAGTTCCACTCAATTGATTGTTCGACGATGATCCGTAGTGTCGCAATCTGGTCTGTGCACGACCAGTCCTTACGGAATCCAGCTTGTTGATCTCGAAGTTGAGCGTCTACTGCGTCTTTTTTCCTGTTCAGTAACACTCTGTTGAAGACTTTACCTGGTATTGACAGTAGTGTAATGCCTCTGTAGTTTTCACACTTGCTCAGATCTCCTTTCTTTGGAATCTTGATGAGGTGTCCTTCTTTCCAATCCATCGGCACTTGTTCCTCCTCCCAAATCTTCTTGAATAGAAGATGAAGCATGCTTGTAGTTACTTCGATGTCTGACTTCAACGCTTCAGCTGGTATATTGTCAGGTCCTGCTGCTTTCCCGCTCTTGATTTGTCTGACGGCCATTCTGATTTCTTCGGTCGTTGGTTGATTGACATCTATAGGAAGATCTGTGTGTGCTGCTTCTATGTCCGGTGGATTCATTGGAGCCGGCCTGTTCAGGAGTTCCTCGAAGTACTCTGCCCATCTGTTGCGCTGTTGTTGAATCTCAGTGATTGGTCTTCCTTCTTTGTCTTTGACTGGTCTCTCTGGTTTACTGTATTTCCCTGTTAGCTTCGTCGTATCGTAAAGCTGTCTCATATTTCCTTCTCTTGCAGCTTTTTCCGCCGTCGTTGCTAGTTCTTCTACGTATTTTTGCTTGTCAGCTCTAATGATCTTCTTCACTTTCTTGTTTGCTTCTATGTACTCTGCTTATGCTTGGACTTTCTCTGCTCTTGTTCGACTGTTGTTAATTGCTGTCTTCTTGTTCTTTCTTTCTTTGATCCTGTCCAGTGTTTCTGTAGAGATCCATTCCTTGTGATGATGCTTCTTGGGGCCCAGAACCTCTTGACACGTTGAAGTTAATGTTTCTTTGATACCTTTCCAGCTATCCTCCATAGTAGTTTCTTCTTCCTTCAGTAGATCCTGTAAGGCTTGGAACCTGTTGTTGAGAGCTACCTTGAATTCATTGAGTTTGTCAGTATCTCGAAAGAAGGCTGTATTGAACAATTGTAATGCTGTTTGTCCAGTTGTCCAGTTCTTCTTTAGCTTCAGTTTTAATTTGGCCACAACCAGGTGATGATCTGAAGCTATGTCCGCTCCTCTCCTGGTTTTCACATCTTCCATTGTCCTTCGGAACTTTTTATTGATGCAAATGTGATCTATCTGGTTCTCTGTGGTGTGGTCCGGTGAGATCCACGTAGCTTTGTGTATACGTTTGTGTGGAAATGTTGTACCGCCTATGACCAATTTATTGAATGCACACAGATTTGCAAATCTTTCCCCGTTTTCGTTTCTCTCTCCCAGTCCATGTAGTCCCATGATGTCTTCATATCCGGTGTTGTCCATTCCGACTTTGGCGTTTAGATCTCCCATCAGAATGGTGAGGTCCTTTCTTGGGCACTTCTCTATGATTGATTGCAGCCTCTCATAGAATTGATCTTTAACGTCGTCGTTGCTATCATTGGTGGGTGCATAACATTGGATAATGTTCATTGTGATCCCCTACTTCTTTGTTTTGAATGATGCTTTGATGATTCTGGATCCGTGAGATTCCCATCCTACAAGTGCATTTCGTGCTACTTTGGATAGCATTAGAGCAACTCCCTGAGTGTGTGGAGCATTTTCCTCTTTGTGACCGGAGTATAGCAGCATCTCTCCCGTATTTAGCCTTTGTTGTCCAGCTTGGGTCCAATGGGTTTCACTGATTCCCAGTACTGCCAATTTGTATCTCCTCATTTCTGTTGCTATTTGACTGGTCTTCCCGGTCTCCCACATTGTCTGGACGTTCCATGTACCTATAAAAATTGTTGCTCTGGTTGTTAGAAGGGGCATCGGCCTCGTGGCTTCCGAAGGAACTCGGCGTTCACCATGAAGCGTCATATTATTTCTAACTCCCAGGGCAGAGTTTAAATGGTTTGAGTTATTTTTTCTGCTTAGCGATTTTTTTAGCGAGTTAGGTTTCTACGGGATGGGGACGCTAACCCCATGCCCAACCCTCCTCCTTTACCCGGGCTTGGGACCGGCAGTAACTCCGAAGAGCTACAGGCGGCGATTAGGTTGACTAATATTTTAGCTAAAATCTGGGAGTTGGACGTAATCCCATCCGATTGGTTGCAATCACTGATTGTTCCGATATATAAGAAGGAGTCAAAATCATCCTGTGATAATCAGAGCAGTTGGTTTGACTAATATAGTATCTAAAGTACTAGCGTGAAACAAAATATTAGTAGTAGTAGTTACTTGAATATTTGTACGCATAGTGTCTAATGTCTAGTAAACATTACCGTTTGTAGGAATGAGAGTTGGGATGCTTTGTAATGAATGATTATTGTATTAAGGAATCCCTCAGTTAATGATAAACGCTAGTTTCATCACAATGATCAAATTACATACTACAAGTCACAAATTAACAAGGTAGTATTACTTAAATCCAGTTGATGCATGGCATATCACGTTCCTTACAAAGTAACATATCAATATTACCACCACCTACTATAAATAATAGTTCTCTAATGACATACTGAACAACTTTGTCTGGATAAATTTTGGTATAAAAATCGATACAAATAACAGTAGAAAAATGGAGATTATGTTTATTTGTACTTTGTAAAGTGAACTAATTATTATTTAGGAACGATGATCGTTGTAATTACCTAAACAGACATGAATGTCATGCACACTGTGAAGAAAAAATCAATGTACACTATCAAACATTAAAGTACAAAGTATAATTAGAAATAAATCAATATATGCATCATGTGCTTGATTATTTTCCTATCACGTGCCCTACATAAGATTACAGTTACTGAATGACTAAACTACCAAATATTAATTTTTTCGCAATAGCTCTAATGGTATACACGTCAAGTCCCTGTTGATAATGAAATATAATATTTGAAGTTTTCACGATTGGTTATCTACAAAGTGAATAGCTACTACCACTGCGACCCAGGGAGTGCTATTCGATTTGTCGTAAATGGATATATGTATATGTATAACCTCAATAAACGAGCGAAATCTCTTTAAAATGATTTTTTGTTATAAGACGATCTGGAATGTAAACTAATCAGTTGATAGCAAGTAAAAAGAAACGATAGTAACGATAATTTTTTCTAAATTATTATGGATTGCATTTTCCTGTAGAGCGATATTGAGCATTCACTTAAGTTAGAAATGTAAACTAATAGATGATGGGTTCAGCGCCCGACGCGAGACAGGAAAAATCCTGGATTCAATCACAGATATGGTCGTGGATGAGCATCGCTGATAAGTCCTATACTACGTACGATAAAACAGCTATTCATTGCTTTCTAGTTTTTAATGGTTGGCAGCCAGAATTGATGTATTTAACATATAAATGATCACAAAAAAAACATTTTTGATACCTAAACACTCATTAGTTTTCTAAGTGTATATGCAACTTATGAGAAAAAAGCTGAGTAATTTTAAGAGATAAAATTTAAATAAATAAAATCTGCGAAGAATTCATCATTTGTACAAAACAAAAAATTAATATGATTATTTCGATTTAAGCACTTTATATAGTGAACATACATCTATTCATTTTGAACGAATGTAACACAATCTTTAAACAACTCAGACTGCTTACTTTTAAAAGTTTTTAACTTATTTCTTTTAATGAAAAATTCTAGTTTGATTCATTTATAAGGCAACATAAAGTGTATAATGGTACAATGAATCACAAACGTTTAAACATGTGTACATTACAGGGAGTATGATAGTCAAGGAGTTAATATTAGTGTTATCGTTTCATTTCAAATGGGGTTTTAAACTTATCCAAATAAATTGGTAGTAACATCTTTGACTATAACACTGAGTAGTAAGTTCAAATCCTTTGTAAAGGGACACTAATTACTTCAAGGCACATTATAGTGAAAGAATATAATCAAAAAATCGGGTTCCTTAACCATTATAGGTAACATATATACATTTAAGAAAAAATGAACACATTATTAACTTACTTCAGGGTGAAATTGTTGTTCCGTTCGCGTATGACAGTAAACACATGCATCGCCAGTATCACATAGGGTACTATCTTGCCATTCATCACCAGGTCGAACAATAGGACAAGGAGTACTACGATACAAGAATTTATCAGGAGCTCTTCGCTTATCTTTTCCATTGTGATAAAATGGACATGAATAACCTTGACGACACATTCGCGGTGGTTTCTTGCATAATTCAGTCTTATAACAACCAAGTACATGGAACATTTCTGAATAAATGATTTAGTATAAACAAGTGATATAATCAAAAAGAGCTTTTAAAGAAAAGGAGAGTATTGAAGAAATATAACACTGAGAAATCATTTTGAAAAGATTAGATAATAAGAGAACAGCTATTTAGTGCTTAACAGATTTCAGTGATTTCAATAATTAATTTGTAAAGACTGTTAATATATGAACTAAGTTAAACTTCATAGCCCTGAGAAACATCTACAGTATGATTGGGTTCTTCAAGTTAATCGTAAAGTCGTGTTGGTTTTATGATTTCTATAACTTTCTGATTCCAAAAACATGCCACAATTCCCTTTCCACAATCATTTCAGCTCATATATCACGAAGATGCTGGCTTTTTTGATCAAGTAATGGGATTTAAGTTCAAAACATTTAGTTTTCTGGACTTGACAGCGATATGCATAATCTCACCTAAGACTATCTGATTTTAAATGAAACACAGATATATAGTATGATAAACATGGTTTTTAGGTTGCAAACTCAATAGTTATTAAATATCAGTCCTTCATAAAATGATACAAGGTTTTAAAACTTTCAAATTTAACAAAGGAGATAAGAACAGGACCAACCATCCCGTCACATTAAAGATAATTACCATTCCATTTGGGATCTTCACTCAATACTCGCTCTTTTTCTAAACTAGCAGGTAGATTAACAGTGAATTTTGAAGAAGCATCCTGAACTTCGCGAATGTCATAAACAGGTAAACGGATGTCATCAGGGCCATGTGCAAATGCACAATGCAGACCATTCTTGACACAGGCTCCGTTTTCCATGGTTTCATATATACAATTTCCAGTTTTGAAATAGCGTGGATGATAACGTCGTTCCGTGTCACCAGCATTGCGGTGCGCATACGGGCATCTACAAGAATAAGCAAAAATGTTTAAGATAACTTAATGAATTTGCTAATAACTAAAATGGCGAACGAGATTAGCAGGATTGGTTTCAAAGGTGGGATAGCGGCAGTCACATCCTGGCCCTTCACATCGTTGAAGGATAGTTCATGAGGTATATGGAAAGGGAACTGTATAGAGGGTGGGTCTTGACGACGCAATAGTATAACCGCAGACTCATGAGGCCAGTCACATGACATTTATGTGAATAGGGTTATCTGTTTTAGCCCCGTACTTTTTAGATCATATTTCGGCGACAGTGTTCAGTTTTTAAGGGCGACAGTATCACTGGGGATGCTGGTTGTCTTGGGGAGACAACCGGCTGTTGTCAAACCTCCATACAGTAGGCAGTGAGACTTCTGGAGGTGTGGAATTCTCAAACACAGCTTACTAGAAAAAAATCAATATAGAATGCCAAGCCAACTTTCACGTTACTTTGTGGGCTTTCAACCCACTTTTTACCATAATATATGTTTAGTGACAAATACTCAGTCCATAAATCATAAACATTGTAACCAATATATGACCGACTAACTTAATTTTATTATTTGATTCTCTTGATGTCTTCATCAATACATTTTCCTTATAACAATTTACCTCTTAATCATTGCGCAAGGGATATCTTTAGAACGTTATGCATTAGTCCTCTGGTCTATCTAATTGGCATAGATCTTGTTTCATACTGGAAAAAATCAATTGATAATTAGTGACTATTCGATTCAAGATAGACTGTCCTCAGATATTGAAGGGAGTAACATGTGGAGACCACCGCAAGGTCTTTTGAGTGAACGAAGCATTTATTTCCGTAGCATAATATCTGACCGAAACGAAAATTTGAGTTTCTGATTTTGCTAAAATCTACCAAACTGAGAAGACTTACACTGTTTAGGAACCAAGTACTAAGTCATGTTATCGAATATTTACTAAAAGCATCCAAATGGGCGAATACACGTATTCCATTGGACATAAATCTAGGACTGATTTATGGGTACAACTACCATATATTCACTATCAGTCCACCAGACGAGTGTGAACATAAGGCCTAACTGTGAGGTTCAGAAGAAAACTAAGAGATATAAAGACAATTAGTAAGTGCTAGCCTAAACAACGAATTAGTATCATAGTAAAGGTTTAAGAGAACCAGTATATTATCGTATACTTCTGTCAATGGTGAGTCTTGACAGAACAGCATAATTTACAATTAAATTAGGATTGTTGTAAGTTAAGATGATACTAAGTTTTGTATGCAACGCCAGGTTACTTCAGAACGTTATACATTAGTAAACAGACTTAACAACAAGAACAGCTTGAAACCACCGAAACCGTAAGTAACACTTCAATTCCTAGTTATTAATTTGTTAAGCTGAAATCAAGTGCAAAACAAACCTTAAAATGGCTGTTTTCTAAAAACGGATTGCGCCACGTACTAGCCTTGAGGGTTAGATAGTCAGTTGTTGAACGTGCAATGACTCATGTAGAAATCACTTTCGATAGTTCTTATTATTTTTTCCACAATTCGTCAAGATTTTATTGCGCATCGAAAAGTTTCCAGATTACCCGTTACAAGAAAATTGACGTGGGGATAATTAATCAGAAACTATCAATAGACCTTCCCAATAATATTTTTTAACTGCTCAGTGTTTAAAAAGCTTTAACTAACCATCGTCATCACTATACAGAGAATAAAAATTTTATGTCTAGCAACACGTTTACAACTAAAAGTTCTGAACAAGATACTAACCAGCTTTACCTAGACTCCCCAGGTCTTCGAATGCAATCACACAAATATAAATGGATTATGGAACTGAATACGATGTAGCTTAGAACCCAAAATCTTATTAACATCCTCACACGTCTACACATATTGCGTTATTTCGAGAATTACCTTATGAAATCCATGCCAAAACAATATCATGAAACGACATGCCTAAGAACAATAGTGAAACATTACATTGCAGCTACGTCAGAAATGTAAAAAGAATGATGTAGTTTAAGCTTGCAGATATATATATATATTTGGTGCCCCCCTGTACCAATATTTGTGTTCAAATAAATAAATAAATAAATAAATAAAGCTTGCAGATTTCATTACTACAATTCTGGTTTACAGGACCGTAAATTCCGTCACAAAACAGTGTAAAGGTTTGAATTGCAGAAAATCTAAAGACGGAAAACATCACAACTTACTCATCCCCATCAGCACATGACCCACTCGTTTCATCATACTTATCACAGTATACATCCGGATTGTAATTAAAAGTCCCATCAGGTCTCTTGAAAGGCCGCCTCCGTTTCTGGTTTGGAAAGTGCCAATGAAAGCAAGTATAAGGACGATGAAACTGACACTGTTGTTCAAGAAACAGGAGGCATTGTTGAGTGCGAAATTCGTTTAAATATCTAAACATTCAAAACATATCAATATATAGTATTACTTTAGGTGCCGAGGCTTTTCCTGGCGCATAGCATAAGTCTTTTGCGAGAAGAGAAACTGAACGGCATCATTATTTGTAACCATTATCATTATACTTTAACTGCCAGCTTTGAAGACCATTTCCCAAAGCCCCATCCAAACAACGGCCAACTTGTACGACCTTGAATCGTGGCGTCGGGATAGGAAACAGACATCGAATGTTGAACAGATGTGCCAATGGATGTCAAAGTTATTGAAGTTCCAAATGTTTTTACTAAAAATTCAGTGGTTGCCTAAGTATATTTTCATTATGCCGTCGATTATGTTGATGATAGAGAATTTGGCCTTACAAAGTTCTCAGTATAATTTGTTTTTCTCCCCCAATATTTCATCACGACCATTTGTTGAAAATCATACGATTTCCTTGCATTTGAGACTTGGTTTAAGCAAAAGGTGATTTCTCTACTAGACTGAAGTGATGCTGCCGATTTTATCAGGTAACTGAGAAGAAGTTCATTATGAGGCTGTTTTTCTTAGGGCAATGTATTTGCTGGGACCAGTTGTCACGTCATAGGACATTGGTTTCCTGGAGGTTAATAAATTCCCAAAATCATCAGCTCTGTATGTCTCCTACACTTGATGCTGGCCACATTATTTTAAAACGACTCACTTAGCTGAAATCGATCGGTCACGCATCCACACCGCACGCCATGGTCCACCTCCAGCCAGCATAGATTATCCACTTCTCGATATATCGATATTCTATCAGATATATTTTCGAACGTCTTCGCGTTTTGCTTTTCATTTCTTTAGGTTGTCACGTTTTGGTTATAAAAACTGTTACTGGTTAACGTGTTGTCAATCACCGAATACTTTTGGTATCCTTAGTGGTAAGCCCGATGTTATCTGGTTCACCAACTCGTGAACTGTGAGTCAATTCCTTGTCAGAAATTTATTTTGGCTTTCACTTATTGTGTCATTTTTAAGTATTCTTGGACAGTTTGTTTTCTCGTTTACTGCTGAGCTTTATATTCACCATGACCGAAAAGACTCCCAAATTATTGAAAATGAAAACCCTTTCGCCACCATGATTAAAGCTAATAACATTCTGGCCCGACAACATCAAAGCCTGTTTCTGTTTCACAGAACTTGATTTCCACGAACATGGAGTGACCGACCCACACACATTTCTTTACAGTAATAAAGGCACTACTAGTGATGTCTCGGAAACTTACGGAACTCTTTAAAGATCTATTCTTGAGCGAGGAGATCAAACCGATCAACAACATTAATCTACAACATGGCTCAGCAACAGACGTGTTGCTACAAATAAAAAGGTCATTAGTCGACGGATTTTCGACGAGTGGCTGTTTAGAAAACTTTTCTTGTTTAAACTGATCCAACAAGTGCAGGCACTTCTGGTCTCACTTCAAAACAACGCTGTAGACGAGCTGGTCGCATCTGCTGACCGAATTCTGAAACCATCCGAACTTCCAACTCTGAGGTTTTTCCAGTCAAAGAAAAACCACAGGCAATATAAAATGACGTTACAGAACTCTGTCATACTTTGACACGTCACCTTATTATTCACCATGACCGTTGACGCTCTCAAACGATCTATCTCTAGATGGCGAGAGGTAGATAACTTTGGTTGGTGTTGGTATCATAATAAATGTGGGCTATCTAGACATTGCAGAAAACCTTTCGGTATCTCGAACCTCAAACTGGAAAACGCTTAAGGAGAAATTTCTCAGCTGGCACGCATTAACGGCAACCGTGGCTGGCGAACATAGCCGTCTGTTATACGTCACAGATATGATTACGAAAGTCCGCTATCTATTCGACATCGGTGCAGATGTTAGATTTCTTCCTGCAGTTTTCAACTTACAGGCGGCAATCGGAAATTCAATCGCCGTGGTAAGCGATATTTTCATCTTAACGTGGGTTTAGGCAAACCCATCCACTGGATCTTCGTTGATGTAGATGTTTCTATAAACCTGCCACATCACTCACAAACATAGGTTAATAGACTAAAACACCAATTTATCTGTTTGTGTAACTTATTTTTCGGGCTATAGATTTTCGCCAGTCACAGTAAGGCATACGATCTATCCATTCAAATAAAAAATACTCAATTTGTAACCTGAGATATACCAAGTGCAACCGGAACAGTCATGCGTTGCCATCAATGTGACACATCACATCACGGCTACATGACCATTTGTGTTCTCGAAACGCGCCAACTGGCGCCCGAAAAGCTTAGGTTGGTAAGAACGAATTCCATCACATGATAGACTTGGGAATCATTAAGCCATCGGACAGCCCATGAGCACCTATCCTGCATATGGCCTCTAATAATGACATCAACGACTGGCGTCCAACTGGTGACTATCGGCGATTGAATGCGAAAGCTATTCCTGATCATTATCCGTTGCCCCACAGCTACCATGAAAGGTACAACTGTCTTTTAGAAAGTCGGATTGGTTAAAGCACATAACCATATTTCTTTGGCCGCTGACGACATTCCGAAAACTGCCATCATCACACTTTTTGGTCTACACAGATTTTTGTACATGCCTTTCGGCTTAAGATATGCTGCACAAAACTTTCTAGAGATCCGTCGATGACGTTTTATGAGATCACAACTTCGCACACTAGTATGTTGATAACTTCTTGACTACAAGTGCAGACAGAGAATCTCATCTCCAGCATCTGAACATTGTCTTCGAACGACTACGAAAGCATGGCATTACGTTAAACATTCACAAATGTAAAATCGGAACGGACTCATTGGATTTCATCGGACAAGCTATTGATGCTCAAAATATCCGACCTCTAAGAAGCAAAGTGGCGGCAATTCTGGCTTACTCAGAACCCACCACAACCAGGTAGCTACGCACGTTTAACAACCTAGTAAGTTTCCATAGACAGTTCATGCCGAAATGCGCGCCCCTTATGAAACCTCTAAACGACTAACTTCATGGAAATGCAAAAATCGTCGATTTGGACGACATCGCTAAAAAACGTTCTCCTCATTTAAGGAACATAACGCCAAGGCAACAATGTTCAATATGTTGCACAAGTCTTCTCATCCAGGTGTTCGTGTGTAAAAAAATGGTGAACCAGTTACTAGCACTGCTCTAATGATAGAACTAATCCTAAACGTGTGTACTTGCCATGACATGACTATTTAATATATAAGATCGTGCGTGAAATTATTGTCCTTGTCTTCACTGGACAAAGCAATGAGGCTGAAGAAAAAAAAATATAAACAAAAAAGTTAAATGTTACACCAGAATGACCTTGCTTGCAAGGTTGAACCATACCATCCAATGAATGGAATTACCTATGATGATGAAGGCAACACAAAACATAGATTTCCTCCCTTCTGTGATTTAATTTTATGACTATCAAAAGAGTTCCATCAGAGCGAACCAGAACGTAACGTCACTTTCAGTGAGTTTTGAACGTTTGGCCTTCATAGTCACAAATGTGTTTACTTCTAAGGCGAGAATCATCTCTTGTTTCTTCAGTTTAGTCTCGAATTGTACGGAATGCAATACCTCACACTGTGTTCGTCAGTAAACACCTCAAAATCAGTAAACACAGAACAATAAGAAATATATCACTTACGAAGTATATACTACTACTATGAAAAAGGTGTCGTACTCACTATTGATCTCTCATATACTCCAACTAAATAACCGGGGACACGATAATTCGCAAACGCTATGCGATATATAGAGCTCGAGACGACGTTTGTTGAGAGAAATTGGTTTCAACGTTGTTTCCAAACGATACGACAACCATACACAAGAGCTAGTAGACGGGAGGGTATTGTTTACCAACCAGATATGTACACAGACTTCGACCAGTTACCAAACGTTTAAGCAAGTAGTGTTCTACAGGATCAGAAGAAACTAGGCAGACTGATACATAGCCATAAACCCTCGTTTACACAAATATTGATACATACTGATGTATAGGCGAGTCATTAAGAACTAAAATAATGCTGTCTGTTCGTCAATTGCTTACTTCCCTGGTTAGTGATTTTAAGCACGGTTGTTCTCTACGGGATGTGGTTGCTGATCCCATGCCCAACCCCCCCTTTACACGGGCTTGCAACCACCACCACATGGGCCAATCTATGACGTGCAATGAACTGATTCGCGTTGGCTGTCCTTGACCTTGATGGGGATCGATGAACTTCCCGACATGCAGTGACCCAACTACCGGGTGGTGTGGCTAAGACTCGGTGACATGTTACTGGCCTTACAAGTCATTTGTGGTGTAATTGAGATATGACTGTTAAGGAGACTCCTCCTATCTGCTCTGTCCCAAAATAACGAGTGGTGAACTTTTTTGTCAGGACTAACAAAACATCTACATTGCTTAGGTCGCAAGATGTCTGCAACAACCTTCTGTTTGTGCAGCTCGGTGTTTCTTCAGAGATCGCAAGCATCTAGCAAGAGAAATACAAGGTGAATTTCACCAGAATGTAACTTCTTTTTTTTCACAGACCCTACATTTACAAGGACGAGCAGTGAAGAAACCAACTGAATTTCACTGACGTAGAAAACCCGAATAACATACCTTCATAGACGTCACCTTGGTTTATATATCTCTGAAAAACTATGCCTACAAAAGCATTGAGGCTGTTCGCAACCGCAGCTCCAAAACATTGACCTAACAGATTTAAGTTGCGGTGATTTGTCAAGGGTATTCGAATACATAATATCGGTCAAGCTTTTTTAGTTAGAGTTCGATAACGGAAAATTCGCAATGTCAAGCATAGTAAGTAAGATCCATTTTGGATGTTTTGTGTGTGGAAATCCCTCCATGTATACACTTGCAGTTTGTTCTTATTGATTCCCTTAGTTGTACATCTTGTTAGTCTTTTTTATCCCATTTGAGTTGATAATATTTGTGTTTTATTATATTTTTTATTTTTCTTACGAACTCACTAAGTTTCCGTGTCTCTTCCTGAACTACAATTATGTTGTTTTACATGATACTTAGACTTGGCGGCAACCACATTGGTTCGTTTCTCCTTTTGACTGTGTTGATTGTATTGACTGGAATTGTGCATTTTTGATTGTGAATTGAAGCATTCTTCCAGAGTTGGAAACACTGTGTTATAAAGCAATCAAATATTATCTTTTGAACGAATCTGTGCGTGGTCTATCCAGACAGGATAGAATAGCATTTATTTGTTGCGATTGGTAATTTTCTCACATCCTTTATCAACTTCCTTATTTATTGTAATTTAGATTTGATTAATTGAACAATTATTGGTCGAGTAGCTGGGTGGTCATATTTGTTTAGGTAACAATGTACATTTAAATTTATGACGAATTTTAGGACCATCGTTTTACCCAATCACTTTGTTTTTGTTTCGGCCGGGCAAGGTCGCGTATCTAACCCACCTAGACAGCTATTCTTCAGTCCAAACCCTAGTTTGGATCTTACAGTTCTAAACAATGTCGGTTAGTCGAGGTCGTTTGGCTAACGTTTCGTGGATTTTAATTATCGTTTCTGAAGATATTCTGTCACTTCGCTCGTGATGCTGAACACTCGTCAAAGGAAGTCAAGCTGAAAGCTCGTTGGTGTTATTGGAGGTAAAATAAATGATGGATCCCCTCGTACAAAGCAAGTGCCTTTTGATGTCCTTGAGTGTCATGGTTCAGACTCAAATATGGTTGATTATCATAATAGTAATTTAAGTCCTAATTCGATGTCAGATGACGTTAAAAAATACAAGTTTAGATGAGAAGCAAAGACTTTAAGTATCAGGAAAGAGCGTAATACCCATAACGCCTGTTGCAGGTCTAGAACTACCGAAGGTTGAATTAAGTTATTTCGATGACCAGCCAAGAGGGTACTGGAAGTTTATGAGGCAGTTTGAGACCTACGTAGCATCGAGTCATTAATATTAGCTAATGCTTGCTCCATTTGGTACACTATTGTAAGGGCAAGGCAAAAACAGCCATTGAAGGTTGGGTCATGATAGAAGCTTCTGTTGGTTATAAGAGGGTCAGAGAAATTCTAAAACGTTTGTTCGGACAGTCGTATATAATCGCTCGAGAAACCTTAGGGGACTTATTCAATACTGTAAATTTTGATTATAATGACGCGGAGCAACTGTCGAACCTGGCTATTAAAATGGAAAATTGTGCTATGATCTTGGAACAGACGAATCGTACTGCCGACCTAAATTCCTTAGTCACCTTAGAAAGAATAGTGAGGCTCTTGCCTCAACCTATGCAAGCTCAGTGGTCGGAACTGGTGGGTAGATTAACCGAAGACGATAGAAAGCCGAAGTTTGCCGCCCTCACTAAGTTTATAACATCACGTGCAAGAGTAGCCAGTAGCAGATTTGGACAGTTGACGAGTCGTCCAAAAAAGGGACATAACGTATGGACGAACTGTCACTTCCAATCGGGACATTGGAACGGTTCGACTGTGAAAACTAAGTATAGTATGTGTTCCCACGACCACGCTGTTTACAAATACCCGGAATTTAGGAAAAGAATTGTTAATCATACTAGCAAAGTACGGACGCTGGAGGAACCATCCTAATTTCAAATGACCTCTCAAACTTTTGGTGCCACGTCATCGCCGTTTTGTGCGAACTTTGCCATGAACAAGACAGCCCAAACATTCTCTGATGGTTATGATCGTTATGTAGTAGATGCGGTCAAGAACACCTACGTTGATGATTGCTTGATATCCTTTTCTACTTGTGATCAGGCAAAGGTGTTTGTTAAGCAGATAAGTGAATTATTGTGTAGAGGAGGTTTTAATTTAAAGAAATGGATTACTAACTCGGAAAAAGTAAAGACCATTCTTGCCTGATGTATGTAAAGAAGAGTCTTTGGTAGGAATGTCAACGAGTTACGATACCGCTCATCGAACTCTAGGTGTGGAATGAGATTCCAAACAATATGTATTTAAGTTTTACTTTGATGCACCGAAAAAACATTTGACTAGGAGGGGGATTCTATCTGTTGTTTCTTCTCTGTTCGATCCTTTAGGTCTAATTGCTCCGGTCATGTTACTGTGGCTCGAGGGATCAAGAAGAGAATCGACGAACCTGACGCGAAAGTAGAATTACATTTGTTCAGTGATGCTTCAGAGATTGGTTATGGGGCAGTTGCTTACGCACGAGTTAGTTATTTGCAGGAACCACCATACTGTATCTTGTTGCACAGCAAAGTCTAGGGCAGCACCTATCAAACAAGTCACTATACCGAGGCTTGAGATGGCGGCAACGATGTTAAATGTAAGACAGAGTGAAGTTTTACGGAGCAGTCCGTTCAATTTTTTCTGTTGAGTGAACTTTCATACAGATCCCATGATGGTGTTATACTACAATAAAAATACCGGAAACCGGTGTAGTACCTGTACAGCCAATCGCTTCGCTGTTGTGCACCAGTATACGAAAGTTGAACAATGGAGTTATGTAAAGTCGTGGCAGAACCCAGCTGATTGGACCTCGAGAGGTATACAAGGAATGACCGATCTTAAATCTTGGTTTAAATGTTCTACTTTACTGCATGGCGATTTTCGTATAACAATTACTGACTATCCAGAACCTACTCCTGACAATATTGAGTTTAGAAAAACTGCTGTGGTTAACTTGCGTAGTATAAAGTACAAAATGTCACCTACTCTTTCTCATCATTCTGACCCATGGTTGAAAATAGTCAGGGCTGTAGCCTGGCTAAGAAGGTTCTTAGAATTCCTGATGCTACTTTGTTCACGGAGTCACGAAGGATCTGTTCGTCTAGGATGTGTAAAGGTCAAAGAGCTTGAAATCGCCAGGCGTAAAGCTTTAGTGATGGTTCAGAAAGAGGGATATGGAGAATTACTTAGTGAATTTAAAAACAACAGTAAAGTAGTTAGCCATAATGATCTGAACTGAAGGGTTTATCACCGATAATGCTTGATGGCTTACTTGGTGTTGCAGGTCGTCTAAACTACTCAGATTTCTGTGATGTTTGAATGAACTGATGATTTCTTGGTACTTGTTGAATGCTTGATTTCGAATTTCAAATACAGTACATTCGTTAATGCTTGTCTAGTACTTTTTGATTAAATTGCGTTATTTCTGGGATTCTTAGTTAGTACTATAATTCAAATACTCCTAATCATCATATTGGCGTCGCGATTGAGCCTTTGATGGAATTATTGGATATACATTCCCAATCAAACAATAAAGGGGAAATGTCGCTTTTTCGCCTTTACAGCGTGTATTTAGGGGATATTTGTAGACAGAAATGCGTTACGTATAGTTCTTGAATATGCCGCCTCCAGTTGTTATGTTTTCATAAACTTAAAAAAAATAACTAAGAGATTATGAAAGAAACATCACTATTGTCATGAAAACAATTAACAAAATACGAACGCAGTGATTAGGCCGACACTCATATTCACTGACTTTAATCTTTGTTTAGCTAAAGTGTTCGGACATGCTTGGTATCCAACACAAATAACTAACGTGATGCAAGTGAGTGACGTGTTCTCCGTTTTTCATGTTCATTACAATTTACTACCTTGTTAGTCCAATAACCTTAGTTCCATTGAAGTCACCGATAGAGCTCGTAGACGAAGGGCAACTATTAACCTGTCAAGCGTTCTTGGTTGTCATAGATCGACTTATAACAGACGATGGAATAAATTACGAATAGCTTTCATGAAAAAACATAACTTGCTTTCATTTAGTGAGTCGGCTAGTGAAAGCACAATTACAGGTAAGTGACTTTCTATGTAGTGTACGTTTAATTTCTATGTAAATGTTAATGAAGTAGTTCTACACAATTAGAAACATCACCATCAACAGTGGAATCTAAGCATGTAGACTGTGCTTCAGCGGGCCAGTAAGTCACCTGTACCATCAATTGACGTTTTTAAGATTTGATAGGTTGCACACAACCTTGAAGAACATGTCGTCAGCTATTGCTGATTTGTGTAAGACAATACAAAACATGTCTTCAGCAATTACTGACTTGAGTACAAATGTCAAGGTACTACTAGCGATGTTTAGTGAACATGATCATCCGCATCAATTCGATTGCGGAGTATCAAGTCAGCAGTTTCCTTTGTCATCGGAAGAGGAACTGCAGATGCTGGACACTGGGTTGCAGCAGAAGGAAACGAGGGACAGATTTGTAAGTCAGCAACATTAATTTACTGACATCTTTGTATAACAGATGGCGATGCTGACGAGGTTAATTGGTGATGACCCTAAAATGTCAATGCGTTACGTTTTGTCGTACATCATGACACCTGAGGTGGCCAGTAATTTCACATTGCTGGGCACTTCTTCAAAGCGCGCACTTCAGAAATGTCGGTTTTATGGCTGCATACGAAGTAACCTATATTTATAAATTAAACTTCAGGTGCATTGACAAATCGCTTCTTGTCATCCTCCGTTAATGAAAAAGACCTTGCGAAGCTTTACGACATCGCGACACAAGGTTATTTCCATGACGTCAGAGACAAGTTGATGAAGCGTAATCGACGGAAGCAAGAGCAGGTATGTACTAATTTAAAGTGATAATTTCCCTACTTCTTTATAGTTGCAGTCAACAGTCCTAACGAACATAACCGTAAGTTTAGCTTAAAGTACTTTTCTGTGTCTTCGGCCATGTTTTTCAGAATTCGTTTTGACTTTTCATTTTTTTACTATTCAGAATTCACAGGACGACTGTTTTGACTGTCAATAGCCCAACAAACGTTGCTGAAGAATGTAGTCGGTGTAACTTTGTTTGATGTTGTACCTAATTTTTAATAAACATATTTTCTTTAGAGATCTTGAATTCTTACTCATTGTCAGTGAACTTTCGATTAAATGCACATGTGTTATAAATAAGACATCACATGTTTCTTCTGTTGCAGATCTCAAAGCACGACGAATTTGGAATTACAATTGAAATGCTAAACGACTGATGCTCAAGCTTCCGCTATTATGTTGTACAAGAAAACGCTTTTCCTTTGAAATAAAAATATTTAAACATATTTAGCGCTTTTCCCATCCATTGCACTTTCGCTGTGGTTTGTTGTAGAAGTAAAGGCGAATTTTGGAGAACTTTTGGGTAGTGCCAATGGCGATTTTAAGGTTGGATAAAAAACGCGCAATTTTGTGTGAATTTATTTTGAGGCGTAAAGTAGACAATTAGGCGGATATTTAGGCGAAAAATAGACAATTTAGCGGATATTTAGGCGAAAAGTAGACAATTCGGCGGAAATTTAGGCGAAAAGTAGACAATTCGTCGATACGTTTAAAAGAGCACTGCTTAAAGCCGAAGGAGAAGGGGAAATAGAAGAGATTATCCAAAGATTTCTACAAACCTACAGAGCAACACCTAACCCAACAACAAATAATCAAGAAAGTCCAGCAGAAGCAATTTTTGGAGAAAGATTAGAATACCTATAGAGCAAATGAAACCAAAACCTACAGCCAACTTCCGCAAGAACAAACGAATGGAACAGCAATTCAACAAGCGGCATGGTGCATTGCCCAGAAGCTTTAAGGTGGGACAAGCTGCAATAACAAGAGATTTTACGGGAGTAGAGCCAACCTGGAAGTTTGGCATCATAATACGAAAAAAAGTGAAGGTTATCTATGAAGTAAAAGTTGGACAAAAGATATGGGTGCGACACGCAAACCAGATGCAGCCAACCAGACAGGAGTGGGAGACAGGAAATGATGTAAAGTCGAATATACCAATAAATATATTAACTGAGTCGGATAATGAAATTAAAAATGACCCGAATAATAACAAGACGCATACAACACTCCCAAGAAGGTCGCAGCGCATCAGGCGGAAACCTAATCGAATAAAAATAAATCCTAAAGATCATTATTATCTCTAACGCTTAAAAAAAGGGAGGTGTTGGGGTATTCAGAAAATACCCCAGAAATTATCGAATGCTATTCCTGAATGGGAAATTGTGTCATTTCCCCATTGTTCAATATTCTTCCAACGTGTCATCTCCCTATTGGTCAATATTTATTTGTGGTATTTCCTGAAGGTCAGTTCTTGTACAAATGTTACTTTCTATTTATGGTACGATGTAGTCTGTTTGTTTGGTATATAAACAGTGTATTTTTGAAATATAACGATTCATATCACAGAGGCTGAGACTTGCGTTCTGGACTCAACTGGCTGGGCTAGACAGGAAAGCAGGGCCAATCAGGACTCTAGGCTGCTCGCTTGTATTTTATGCGTCACTGTTCCGATCGATAATACACTGCTCTCTAACCGGCAAAACTACGCGTTTATAACACCATCATTTATTTTAGCTCCAATAACACCAACGAGCTTTCAGCTTGACTTCCTTTGACGAGTGTTCAGCATCACGAGCGAAGTGACAGAATATCTTCAGAAACGATAATTAAAATCCACGAAACGTTAGCCAAACAACCTCGACTAACCGACATTGTTTAGAACTGTAAGATCCAAACTAGGGTTTGGACTGAAGAATAGCTGTCTAGGTGGGTTAGATACGCGACCTTGCCCGGCCGAAACAAAAACAAAGTGATTGGGTAAAACGATGGTCCTAAAATTCGTCATAAATTTAAATGTACATTGTTACCTAAACAAATATGACCACCCAGCTACTCGACCAATAATTGTTCAATTAATCAAATCTAAATTACAATAAATAAGGAAGTTGATAAAGGATGTGAGAAAATTACCAATCGCAACAAATAAATGCTATTCTATCCTGTCTGGATAGACCACGCACGGATTCGTTCAAAAGATAATATTTGGTTGTTTATAACAGTGTTGCGAATCAGAAGCAGGAAAGCGAAGATTCTATTATCGCGATGATATCGTTGGAAAATGATATTCATCATATACTACAAGTTGCTATAAAAGCAACCCCGTTATCCCCTGAAGATATTAAATGCCATACACAAGAAGACGATGAGCTGAAGCAGATTATTGGATACCTCGAACATGGTTGGCCTACCCATACAGACAACAAAAATATTGAACAGTATTCTCACCGTCCGAAATTCTCTATCACTTGTGGACGGGTGCTTGATGTTTGGAAATCGAGTAATTGTACCTTCAAACTTACGTCGTAAGGTGATGTCAGAACTGCATGCTGCACACCCAGGGGTAGCACGGATGAAAGCACTTGCACGTGGGTATATATATTGGCCGAATATTGATGCCCAGATCAAAGACTATGTTGAGAGATGTTCCGCGTGTGCAAAAGCTATCAAAGCCCCTCGCAAGACAGAAATGCAGAGTTGAGGGACACCGGAAAATCCGTGGTCAAGAGTACTTGTGGATTTCGCAGGTCCCGTAAACGGGAAACAGTATTTGGTGATTGTTGATGCCTTCTCAAAATGGCCAGAGATCCACTGCATGAAGTCTCTTTCGACAAAAGCTACTATCGAAAAAACTGAGACAAGTATTCAGCTGCTTTGGGTGTCCAGATGTACTTGTGTCTGATAATGGACCACAGTTTACCTCCGCTGAATTCTCGAAGTCCTGCGTCGCCAACGCCGTTAGGCATATAAAGACACCCCCATACCATCCGCAGTCCAATGGTCTAGTGGAGAGGTTCGTCGATACGTTTAAAAGAGCACTGCTTAAAGCCGAAGGAGAAGGGGAAATAGAAGAGATTATCCAAAGATTTCTACAAACCTACAGAGCAACACCTAACCCAACAACAAATAATCAAGAAAGTCCAGCAGAAGCAATTTTTGGGAGAAAGATTAGAATACCTATAGAGCAAATGAAACCAAAACCTACAGCCAACTTCCGCAAGAACAAACGAATGGAACAGCAATTCAACAAGCGGCATGGTGCATTGCCCAGAAGCTTTAAGGTGGGACAAGCTGCAATAACAAGAGATTTTACGGGAGTAGAGCCAACCTGGAAGTTTGGCATCATAATACGAAAAAAAGTGAAGGTTATCTATGAAGTAAAAGTTGGACAAAAGATATGGGTGCGACACGCAAACCAGATGCAGCCAACCAGACAGGAGTGGGAGACAGGAAATGATGTAAAGTCGAATATACCAATAAATATATTAACTGAGTCGGATAATGAAATTAAAAGTGACCCGAATAATAACAAGACGCATACAACACTCCCAAGAAGGTCGCAGCGCATCAGGCGGAAACCTAATCGAATAAAAATAAATCCTAAAGATCATTATTATCTCTAACGCTTAAAAAAAGGGAGGTGTTGGGGTATTCAGAAAATACCCCAGAAATTATCGAATGCTATTCCTGAATGGGAAATTGTGTCATTTCCCCATTGTTCAATATTCTTCCAACGTGTCATCTCCCTATTGGTCAATATTTATTTGTGGTATTTCCTGAAGGTCAGTTCTTGTACAAATGTTACTTTCTATTTATGGTACGATGTAGTCTGTTTGTTTGGTATATAAACAGTGTATTTTTGAAATATAACGATTCATATCACAGAGGCTGAGACTTGCGTTCTGGACTCAACTGGCTGGGCTAGACAGGGAAGCAGGGCCAATCAGGACTCTAGGCTGCTCGCTTGTATTTTATGCGTCACTGTTCCGATCGATAATACACTGCTCTCTAACCGGCAAAACTACGCGTTTATAACACCATCATTTATTTTAGCTCCAATAACACCAACGAGCTTTCAGCTTGACTTCCTTTGACGAGTGTTCAGCATCACGAGCGAAGTGACAGAATATCTTCAGAAACGATAATTAAAATCCACGAAACGTTAGCCAAACAACCTCGACTAACCGACATTGTTTAGAACTGTAAGATCCAAACTAGGGTTTGGACTGAAGAATAGCTGTCTAGGTGGGTTAGATACGCGACCTTGCCCGGCCGAAACAAAAACAAAGTGATTGGGTAAAACGATGGTCCTAAAATTCGTCATAAATTTAAATGTACATTGTTACCTAAACAAATATGACCACCCAGCTACTCGACCAATAATTGTTCAATTAATCAAATCTAAATTACAATAAATAAGGAAGTTGATAAAGGATGTGAGAAAATTACCAATCGCAACAAATAAATGCTATTCTATCCTGTCTGGATAGACCACGCACGGATTCGTTCAAAAGATAATATTTGGTTGTTTATAACAGTGTTGCGAATCAGAAGCAGGAAAGCGAAGATTCTATTATCGCGATGATATCGTTGGAAAATGATATTCATCATATACTACAAGTTGCTATAAAAGCAACCCCGTTATCCCCTGAAGATATTAAATGCCATACACAAGAAGACGATGAGCTGAAGCAGATTATTGGATACCTCGAACATGGTTGGCCTACCCATACAGACAACAAAAATATTGAACAGTATTCTCACCGTCGAAATTCTCTATCACTTGTGGACGGGTGCTTGATGTTTGGAAATCGAGTAATTGTACCTTCAAACTTACGTCGTAAGGTGATGTCAGAACTGCATGCTGCACACCCAGGGGTAGCACGGATGAAAGCACTTGCACGTGGGTATATATATTGGCCGAATATTGATGCCCAGATCAAAGACTATGTTGAGAGATGTTCCGCGTGTGCAAAAGCTATCAAAGCCCCTCGCAAGACAGAAATGCAGAGTTGAGGGACACCGGAAAATCCGTGGTCAAGAGTACTTGTGGATTTCGCAGGTCCCGTAAACGGGAAACAGTATTTGGTGATTGTTGATGCCTTCTCAAAATGGCCAGAGATCCACTGCATGAAGTCTCTTTCGACAAAAGCTACT